TGCAGGGATGTTATTCTAAAGGGACACCACCTGAAAAGTAGAGAATCTCAGATTACAATATATGAAAATGTACTATTGTTATATAGGCAAGTTCCAAGTCACTGCCAGTCATGTTCAGAAAACCCCAATATCACCACTGACAGTAATTCTATTTTTTGTGTAGTACGCATCACAACAAAATTACAGCTTTACATTTACATTTTAGTCATTTAGCAGACGCTCTTATCCAGAGCGACTTACAGGAGCAATTAGGGTTAAGTGCCTTGCTCAAGGGCACATTTACGTCATTTAGCAGACGCTCTTATCCAGAGCGACTACAAATTGGTGCATTCACCCTATAGCCAGTGGGATAACCACTTTACAATTATACTTTTTTTTTTTTTTTTTGGGGGGGGGGGGGGGGGGGGGGTAGAAGGATTACTTTATCCTATCCCAGGTGTTCCTTAAAGAGGTGGGACAGGTGAGGTGTAGGCTAAAGTCTGTGTGATAGGCTTACCTTACCAGGTGAAGTCTACTTGCCATCAACCCATTGAGGCGGTTTCACACCTGTTAAAAAAAACCACACAAAAACACAAGGGTTATGACAATTTGAATGCTATCAACTATTCAGAAGAGTGGGAAACTAACTCAAGTAGATATTGAAGTAACTGCCTGTCATATTCAGAAAACAGAATATCACCACTTTACAATCTGCCGGTAATTCCAGCTATTTTCAGTTTAGTGTTCATCAGAATGAGACTGGACAGACACCAAGAAAAAATGTCAAGGTGAAGCCTAGGTGGAGTGGGTGGGGTTGTCTTACCTCTAGAGTCTCCTTGTCATCAACCAATTGGGGCACAGCCACTCCTTTTCAAAACAGTCATAGGGGTTATGAGAATCTATATGAAAGCAATTATCTCCTGAACATGGCTGAAGTTATCTTAACACAGCTGTTGCTCAGAAGTAGTTGAAATCATCAGTTGTTGCATCAAACTCTTCCTATTCAAGCTCTCATCACCGACAGCTGTGCCTCTCTTCAAATCATTGATCAGAGGACTAGATGACAATTAGTTTAAATTATAAAACCAATCTCATTCAATTTGCCATTGAATACCCAACTAGACATTACTTGTTAGGCCTCACTAGCCAGTAAAAATCCAGTTGAATTTACCAGCCATGTGCGCAGTCATTGGGTGTATGGCTCCAGTTCATGCTACACTGGCCAGGTCCAGAAGGAGTGGTCTTCCAAATCTAGAACTAATGTACACTTTGGTTAATGCATGAGGACTATCAACAGGACTAGAATTTCAAAATAGTGTTAGCTAAAATAGAGGGCTAGCTAGCTTAGCCAACTAAACTCAATGATTTAAGCTGGAGTGGGCGGACACAAAATGACGTTAACAAAAACTACTGACTTCAGGACCAAAAGAACAACACGCAATTACAGACATTTGTCTGTGTAATTGCGGGATATTCTTTGGGTGCTGAAATCAGTAGTTTGATAACTTAATTTTATGTTACGTCGGGACCTCCACTGCGCCCACACTAGTCGCCCTTCAACTCCATCATAAAGCGTGTTGAGGTTAATCGGTTATAGCTAACTATGCAAATTTCCATTGAGTACACTGGTTTTCCGTGTTCGTGGATCAGACGGTTAGTTAGCAAGCTAACAGTTTAGGAATATTCGTCAGTTTCGCATCCACAAACTGTCAAAATTGACCACGTTAGTTATGCATTAGCAATTAATTCGGTAACATCCACGCCAATCATAGACTTACCCCGGCATGGTATACGTTTCTCCAGTTCTGCAAGGCCCAACCCTCCACAACTACCAAGCTAGCTGCTTGGAGCTAATTACCAGTTCAGGAGCATGGCAAGACTCAAGTGGCAGCAGTGTACCAATAACTAAACACTAATGAAGAACTTCTAAGATATAACTTCGACAATGAGGAAGACGTCATGCTTCTACAGGTAGATCACACGTCTCATTAGATGAGCGAGAAATAATGTGAGCATGTGGCTGGGGGGAGGTTCTCTTGGTGCGTTCAAGAGAACTGGGAACTCGGAAAAAACGAGCTCAGAATTGTGACTTCAATGATCTTCAGGTCGGATAAATTGGCGTTCTAGGATGATGGTGCATTCAAGACAACTGGGAAATCGGGGGGGGGGGGGGGGGGGAAATAGGTCAAATCATGACGTCAGTGATTTTCAGGTCGGAAAGTCGGAGCTCTAGAAAGATGCCAGAGATTCCGAGTTGGATGACAATTCAAAACTATTTTTCCCAGTCGGAAATAGTTTATTTTGTTAACAGTTGTCTTGAACGCACTGAAGTCGGAGGTCGGAGATTCCCTAGTTCCGAGCTAGGTTGAAGTTCCAATTTGTCTTGAACGCACCATTGGTCTCCATAGGGGCGGCAGGTAGCTTAGTGGCTAAGAGCGTTGTGCCAGTAACCGAAAGGTCGCTGGTTCTAATCCCCGAGCCAACTAGGTGAAAAATCTGTTGATGTGCCCTTGAGCAAGGCACTTAACCCTAATTGCTCCTGTAAGTCGCTCTGGATAAGAGCGTCTGCTGTATGTAAATGTATGTATGTATGTCTCCGGGCTTTATGTTGAGAGGGTGATGCGGCGTTCACGTGTTAATCGATACTAGGAAACTCAGAAATGTCTGACTTGGAAACTTGTTGTAGAAACATGAGCTCCGAGTTTCCCACTTGAAAGTACCAGAATCGACCAACAGTAAACTCCTCTAGTCTGTGGGTGAGGAAGGTAGAGAGTCTGTAGGGTGGTGATGAAGGTAGAGATTCTGTAGGGTGGTGAGGAAGGTATGGAGTCTGAAGGGTGGTGAGGAAGGTATGGAGTCTGTAGGGTGGTGAGGAAGGTATGGTGTCTGTAGGGTGGTGAGGAAGGTATGGAGTCTGTAGGGTGGTGAGGAAGGTATGGAGTCTGAAGGGTGGTGAGGAAGGTATGGAGTCTGTAGGGTGGTGAGGAAGGTATGGAGTCTGAAGGGTGGTGAGGAAGGTATGGAGTCTGTAGGGTGGTGAGGAAGGTATGGAGTCTGTAGGGTGGTGAGGAAGGTAGAGAGTTCGATGACACGAGGGCATAAGAATGGTGCTAAGTACAGACATCTCCTGAGTACAAACCAAGTGGAGTTACTTTTACTTGCTCTCTTGAGAACCTTGAGGATCTCGAGGTGGAGTCGGCCGGCCGGCTGTAGTGATTGCTCTGAAGTTGAGCCTGACCAAGATGAGGTAGGCCTACCTGTGGTGATAGGTGTGATGGAGACTTCCTAGCTTTGCCCTGATGAGCAAACCAGAGATGATTTTGGACCGTTAGAAGTGAGATTTTTGCAAAAAGTGGATCCATGTTTTTTGGCCGACCCATATGTTGTGTCAAGCTGGGTGAAGAACAAACTGGGAACTGTTACGTTTGTCAAAGTCTCGGGAAATTGAATTGTGTTGATTTTTTTGTGCATCGTCCGCCCAGAGGAAGTGGGTGCTCCGCGTCACGTGTCTCGGGGCTCAACCTGTGTCGTGCTTTCCTCTCCGGAGCAGGGCGCCGCTCAGAAAAGTGATCAGTGGGGTGGCGTTGAGTGTAGAGGTGGACAAGACGGGAAATAATATTTCTGGTGTTTGTGAGGCCCGTCGTTTTGTGAGACGCGGTGGAAGTGGTGAGATGGAGGATACCCTGTCTGTCTTGTTGAGCTTTGATATGGAGTTTCTGCCTGATAAGGTCAGGTTAGAGTATATTAGCTATTCGGTGAGGGTGTTTGTTCCGAACCCGCTACGGTGCTTTTAAGTGCCAAGGATTCTGACTGACATGTGGCAGCAGTGTGTAGAAGGGAGATCCCCGGATGTGGAAAGGGTTCAGGAGGGCAGAGTCAGAGGGAGTGTGAAGTTGGGGTTGGGAAAGCACTGTGTGTAAACTGTGGAGGGCACCCATGCTACTGGAGATCCGAAGTGCCCTGTACGAGAGAGACAAGTTGAGATTGCTAGAGTTCGAGTGGGGAAGAAGGTTTCCTATGCTGAAGCAGTGAAGAGAGTAGAGGATAGACCAAGGGTGAGGGAGACGACTGGGAGCCCCCCAGTGAGTAGGCCTGAAGAGAGAGATCCAGAGAGGATGAGTTTTTAGCAAGGTTGGATTTCTTGCGTTTATAACCATGGTGATCAACTGCACTGATGGAGTGGAAATCACAGAAGATAGATGAGGTAGTTGCAGCAGCAGAGAAATAATTTAGGTGTGAGAGATTTTTATGCAGAAGATCTACAGGGAATTTTGAGAGAAGGGGTTCCATCCTCCCAGGCCGACGGTCTGTTATAGGATCGTTTAGGGCCAAAGTAGTGGGATGGGAAAGTAGTGGGATGGGGTGGTTGTTTTTGGGGGGGATAGTGTATAGCACAGGAGGTTGGTAGCACCTTAATTGGGGAGAATGGGCTCGTGGTAATGACTGGAGCGGAATTAGTGTAATGGTTACAAATACATCAAACATGGTTTCCAGATGTTTGATGCCATTCCATTTGCTCCGTTCCGGCCATTATTATGAGCCGTGTGCAATCCCCACACCGATCTGCGAAAGGCAGAAATACACAACACAGCACCTCCTCTGCTGGAAATTCACACCAAGAAGAAAAATAACTTCCCGAGTGGCGCAGTGGTCTAAGGCACTGCATTGTAGTGCTAGCTGTGCCACTAGAGATCCTGGTTCGAATCCAGGCTCTGTCGTAGCTGGCCGAGACCGGGAGACCCATGGGGCGGCGCACAATTGGCCCAGGGTAGGGGAGGGAATGGCCGGCAGGGATGTAGCTCAGTTGGTAGAGCATGGTGTTGGCAACGCCAGGATTGTGGGTTCGATTCCCACGGGGGGCCAGTATGAAAAATAATAATGTATGCACTCACTAGCTGTAAGTCGCTCTGGATAAGAGCGTCTGCTAAATGACTAAAAAAACAACATTATGTTCATTTCAACTCGGATGCTCCGACTTTCCGATAGCACGTGAACGCGGAATGAGATCATCAACGTGCGCACTTACACAGACAATAGGGCCCATTATGTTGTGTCTCAGTTAGTGTCCGTGCTTCTCTGCTGTAATAATCTAAGGATTTGTGTGCACGATCACACAGATCAGAAAATAGTGTGTCTTAAATATTAAATAATCTTAATATTTCTGAAAGTATGGACGCCCCGGAAGAGAAAAGCTGTCTTTCTGCTGCGCAAAGAAGAGCAGAAATTCGGAGGCGAAAATTGCTCATGAATTCCGAAGACCGAATGAACAGAATCGTGGGTTTCACCAAAGCTGAAGCTGAAAAAAACGGTAAGGAAAACCTAACTGATGGTAAATGGTTTGCTGGCTGATCAGACAAGCAGATTGCATTGCTTGTTAATTTATTAGCTTACAGCTCACCCATCGAAACTGACAGCTAACGGTAGCTTGTTAGCATCGAAATGTTAGCTGCACAGTACACATTTACTGAGCTAGCTAAGGACCATAATGGTGCAGTGAGCTGAAGAAAAACCTTGCATCAGTGTAAAATGTGCTGCAGTCATGTAGTCATGACAATTCAGTGCCCTTCTGTATTATATAACAAGTTTATTAATATAAATGTGTATTATATATGTGTATATGCAGGTGTGTGTGTGTGTGTATATATATATATATATATATATATATATATATATATATATATATATATATGGTCATATCTCACTTCACAGAGAAGTCTAGTTAGCCTAATATGTTACACTGATAATGTCATCTCATACAGGAGCGTCCAGTCGTGTCACAGAGCCCAGGTTCCATCTGGACTTGGACAGGAACAACTCGTGGTCAGCATCCTCCTCCCCAAGACTGTCTCCATTCCTCCCGGAGGCAGTAGGCAGCAGCGATCTCCCAGAGAGGAAGGGGTCTCCCCTGCCAGACAGCAGCGAGGTGCTGGGTGGAGGTGTAGACCAGGACGTGACTCCAGGGGTCCGACATAGGCCACGGGGAGAGGCCCAGCTGGCAGCTGATGAGCCCAGCCATTCTGAATCCCCACGCAGAGGGTTGCAGAAGTATCTGTCCCGCTTTGATGACGCCATGAAGCTCCGTGGCCAACTGGCCAATGAGAAACAAGCCCAGGATGCAGCCGGCTCAGACCCAGAAGAGTTGGACTCCTTCAGGCTCTTCAGGCTTGTCGGCAGTGTCCTCCTTGCCATCTTTGTCAGAGGTTTTGTCTGCAAGTATCTGGTGAGTCGGATCAGAAAAGTGTTGCATCTTCCCTTGAAATTTGTGCATTTGTTCAACACCACTGACCTATTCTGTCTTAGATTCGGCCGCACTTATGGTGATATGAGAGTAGACCTGTAGCAGTTCACTAACTAGGCTACACTCTCTTTTCTTTTGCAGTCCATATTCGCACCGTTTCTCACCCTCGAACTGGCCTACATGGGGTTGTACAAGTATTTTCCAAAGGTATGAGATACCTCTACACCGTTACTATGTAGTGAATGGAGCACAGCTATAACAAATGGGTCAGACACACATATAGTCATAACCTGTGCAGTATTATAATGCATACATAAACATGTATTAACTTTCCACCAGTCTGAGAAGAAGATGCAGACCACAGTGCTGACTGCCGCCCTCCTGCTGTCTGGTATCCCTTCTGAGGTCATCAACCGTTTCATGGACACCTACAGGAAGATGGCCGACGTCTTCGCCGACCTCTGTGTCTACTTCTTCACCTTCATCCTCAGTCACGAGATCCTGCTGTTGGTTGGTTCAGAAGAGACTGGTACTCCCTGATGGACTGGAGGTCGCCGTGCTATGTCACTGTCACTGTCACCCCCCCCCCCCCCTCTGGGTGACAGAGGAGGGCATGACCCCTGATAGTGATCCTTTACCCGACCTCCTTCCAACCATGTCCCATCCTGAGTCAGTACACCCCAAAGGGGAGGGGGGTTCGAAGTGCAATGTCCGCAGGTGGGTAAGAGAGGAAGACGGAACTAACAGGTTGAACAAAGTAACATAACATGTGTTCTGACCCTCTACTATCCTGTAAAACAACACATTTCACTGCACCTATTGTATTGTGACAATAAAACACGTATATTAAACCTATTTATCTTGTCCATAGGAGCTTCTTTAAGTTACTGTTTATGTAGCTCTACAGCATTTACCTAAGGGGTCCAGTTACTTTGCGATTTTGTTTGTTTCAAGTGAATTGATCTATCTCAAATGGAAGACAGGAGATGCATTTGTCTTTCAGTAAAATAAAAAAAAATTGTTGCCTATGTTTTTTGCACCCTTTTATGCTTAAAGACATGGTTGACTTCATCTGTACATGCGCAAACTCTTATTGAAAGAGGTAACTTGTGTCATCTGGGCTAGGAGAACAATTGCTTAGGATTGTCTTTTTGGAAAGTGTGTTTTGTCACTGCTATTCAATGTGGGGCGGTGGGATCTTATAAGCTTGTATATTAATCTGTGTTGAATAACTCTGATTGTGGAAATGTCATGTATTGCTTTTCTAGCTATCCCAGTCTCACTCAGACTCTGTTTCTGTGGCATGTTACATCGTCTGTTAATCCTGCATTGCATCCAAATTAATGTATTCAGTTGGTGTGAGACTTATTTTTCTATGTAACTTCATTGGTGTGATTTCTTGTTTGTCAGATGAACTTGAATGCTTTTCATAATGTTGAAAATTATAATTTTGTGAAGTGTAAATGCTTTATTCATGGTTTATTTTATGTGAAATATTGAAATCAATATCAACACAAAGATAAAGAGATACAAATGTTCCATCTCATAATGGTATTTAATTTCTGTTAACGACATGCTGGAATGAATATACTGTGTTAAACCAATAAAACCTTGGAACATTTCACAATTGTTTCTGGTTGATTTCAGATCAGTCATTAAAACTTCTAGATGTAGGCAATGTATAGGATATCTTGATGTCAATGATTATCTATTTCTGCTCTAGGAGAGGAACTGGTAATATTTGTTAAACTTTTTACTAATAATATTTCTACAATAATTATGACGAGGTAAAAATAAATAATCATAGCTACCTCCCACCAACCACTAGATGCGCACAGATCCAAAATACTACGTATTCTAAGAACGGTCGCTTTTTGATTACGTTCCAGGAAACAGCTAACGTGATCACGCATGAAAACAAATGCGCAAAGTTCAACAATAAAACATTGATATTTAATCTCTTTATGGACTCAAAGTAAATATGGGTCGCGAGTCAAGGTAAGTGAGGAGTTTAAGAGTGCCTTGTATTATTTTAGTCTGTTTTGGAGGGTTAAAAAACCTAGCTAGCTAGCAAGTCTGTAACGTTGATCCAACGCGCTAGCTAATAAGCTAGCTAGCTAACGTTTACAGACCATTGAATGTGATATATATTTAGCTAGCTGGCTAGTTAGCTTAATAGCCAAAGTAAAAAATACTTGATAATGCATTAAACGACACAATTATTTCAAACACATTGTGCAGTTGTGTACTGTAAGTCGCTCTGGATAAGAGCGTCTGCTAAATGACTAAAATGTAAAATGTTGTGTAATGGCGCTTTCAAGACAACTGGGAACTCGGGGGAAAACGAGGTCAAACCATGACGTCAGTGGTTGGAGGCAAAAGATATGTGCAGAGATGCACGAGTTTCCGACTTGGAATTCCGAATTGGATGACCGTTCGAAACGGTTTTCCCAGTCGGATCTCTGTTTTTTTCTCGAGTTCCCAGTTGTCTTGAATGCAGTGAAGTCGTAGATTTCCGAATTCCCAGTTGTTTCGAACGCGGCATTACTCTAGCACCAACAACATCTTTTTTTTTTGTATACATTTTTTATGTCAGTCGTTTTAGTTAAGTGATGTAAGTTTATGAAGTGTTCAATAATTTTTTACAATGTTTGTTAGGCATTACAGGAAACGGTCGGCTTCGAGGGGTCGGTCTGGGAGTCGATCAAAGAGCCGTTCCCCGGACAAACGCTCCAAGAAGGATGATGGGGCTGCCTCACGAAACCGAGACAGGGACCGCAACAGGCGGGGAGAGAGGTCACGCAGCCGTGACCGCCGCCGATCAAGGTCCAGAGACAGGAAGCGTCCCAGGTGAGCTGTGTGTGAAATAGAGAGATGGAGACCAAGAGAGTGTGAGTTATCAAGTTCATCCGAGTATGCGTGTGTCTGATCTCGTTATTGAATTTGTCTGATGTGGTCCAGACGCTCTAGGAGTCGGGAGAAGAGACGCTCCAGGAGCCGGGACAGGAATAGAAGGTCTAGGAGCCGAGGACGCAGATCACAGTCCGCAAGCCCCAGCAAAAACAGGAAAACTGACGAGAAGTGAGTTTTTACCAAAGGGTGCAATTTTTTTCCTTAAAAAATCTTACTTCCACCCGACCATAACTTGTTGTCTGTTTTGGTTTGCCAGTCGGCCTAAAAGCAAAGAAGAAGACAACCCTGAAGCCTCTGCAGAGAAGAAGAACATCAAAGAAGAGAAGGAGGAGGAGAAGGTTGAGGATGTGAGTCCTACTCCGGTGGAGATGTTGTTTAGCACTTTGGAAACGTTGACAGAACATGACAGTTGAATTTTTGTATGTCTTTGTCCCCACAGCAAGACTTTGACCAGAACAAGCTGGAGGAAGCGATGAGGAAGAGGAAGGAGCGAGTGGAGAAGTGGAGGGAGGACCAAAGGAAGAAGGCCCTGGGGAACATCGAGGAGATCAAGAGAGAGATCGAGGAGATGAAGCAGGGAAAGAAGTGGAGTCTGGAGGATGATGATGGTGAGGAACAAGCTCAGACTTAGACGTTTCATGGCTGTGTTGTGGGTTCATATGTACCTAAATGCATTAGTTTCCTCTTTCGAAAAAGACTGATTTTAGATGACTGCCAACAGTCTCACCAGACTTCTCTTCCTTTTAGATGACGATGAGGAAGGTACAGCTCCTGAGGATGAGCCTGAAGAAGAAGGCCAGGAGGGTAAGGGGCCGGAGGAGGAGGAGGAAAAGAAAGAGGAGGAGGAGGAAGAGGAGGAGATTACTCCCGTGGAGGAGGAGGCAGAGGATGAGCTGGATACCTTGGACGCCTACATGGAGGAGGTCAAGGAGGAAGTCAAGAAGTTCAACATGGGCCCCCAGTCTAAAGGGAACGACAAGGTGAGTTAGACCACTAGACCACGGCTGCTCCTCAATAGTTTCCTTCACACATTCAGGATCTAGCTCATTGGAAACATTGCTGTCAGTATGTGCTGCTTTGGTCTTTTTGTGTGTGATGCAATCTCTCCTTTTTTTTTGCCCTCCACACAAACAGAAGGGAGGAATAAAGGTGTCCAAAGTTGTCACCGTTTGCAAAACTAAAAGGGGACCAAATGTCCACAAAAAGAAGGGTGAACTGATGGAGAATGACCAGGATGCAATGGAGGTAAGCGGTTTTGTCCTGTCATGTTATCATTGTGATCATTTGTGTAAATGTATAGGGCACTACTTTTAACCAGGGGTCATGGGGTCAAATGTAGTGCACCATGTAGGGTGCCATTTTGTTACGCAGATCATCTCCCTCGAAACTCTCTTCATAAAGTCTCAAGAACTTCTCTCAAAATTCTTTCACTGAAGAGAGCAGGTTCCTACATGTTGTGTCACTGTCTTCCCAGTACTCATCAGAGGAAGAGGAAGTGGATCTGGCGACAGCCCTGACTGGCTACCAGACCAAACAGAGGAAGGTGCTGGAGCCAGTGGATCACCAGAAGATTGAGTACGAACCGTACCGCAAGGACTTCTACGTAGAGGTGCCAGAGCTGGCCAAAATGTCTCCAGAGGGTGTGTACATGTTCGAAAAAAGAATGTGTATTTCCCGCACTTATTTTTTTTGAAGAAGGGTCTATTTGCAATGACTGTGGTATGTGGTCGTTTTCCCCAATGGAACTTAGTGGACTGCACTAACTGTATAGCTTACCGTGTGCTTCCCAGTCGAAACAGTTTGCGCGTATATTACAAATAGTTTTTGTGACGTTTTTTTTCTTCAGTTTTTGTCGTTGGCCCTTTTTTCCCCACCCGGCTGTTTGTGCAGACAAACGTTTTTCTTGAGGCAAGTCAAAGTTCTGTAGCCAAAGTCTACGCCCCTTCGTCGGGGATTGGTCAACAGTACTACTCCTAGTAGGAGTGAGAACAAGAAGTGTTTGTTGTCATTCAACGAGAGACGACTAGTTTTCATGCACATTTTTTCACGAGAAATACTGCACCAAACATCTTAGCTAGATGTAAAATTGCGTGACTAAGACCTTTGCGAAGACATCAGAATAAATCACATATTTCTTGATTTTTATCTTTGATTAATTTGGACTATTTTGAGGAAGTGTATCTGGCTATGTTGATACAGTGGCTCAAGAGGGACAAACAACAATTAATAGTGCAATTTATGTCTCATTTTTCAATGCGAATGACTTTGAGGGTTATGAGAGCACAAATAGTCACTTCGCCTAGCCCAGTTCTGCCAAAAGCAAACCGAACCAATGTATGTGGCAGGGTTTCTATTAGGAAAATGTGTCGCCCGACTTTTGACCAGCAGCATTTTAATTTACTGGACATTTTTTTAGAAATGTACCAGACCCATATGCATCATTAGGTGTGTAACGGGATTAGGGAGTCCGCCCACGGTGCTGAGAATGACAAATCACATTTAGATTACGGTAATTAATCTTAACAGAACACTGCAAGTGGAGGATACAACAATTTGTGGTCCTTCTTACCGAATTCCGATGCCCACATTTTACTTTTCCTCAGCCAACAAGATGAGTAACGAACAGCAAGATCACTAGCCTAAACGTTCTCATCTGTTGCATCAGACTCATTTGCTTTTTAACGTTTATTTTTATGTAGCCTAGGCCCACTGGTTGTATGAATTTGAATTGATCTATTGTCCCACAACTGTCCCAGAGTCTGTTTGGAATAGTTTATTTATTTCTCGACAAACTGACCAACAGAATAGGTCAACACATTTTTTTCCTTCACATTATTAGTGCAGCAATACGCACAAGGCAGTAGGTGTAAAATGTTTGTTCCATAATTAGCAATTAGCCGTGAAAACACTGTTGTCAAACGCGAGCAGTTTCCTGTGACAGAGATGAAAATATCAGTTTAGAAAGAGGGAAGATCTAACATGCAACAACCGGGTTGCTAATATAACTAGGATTGTGCCTTTGGCTACTGGACAATGAAAGAAAGTTGATCTAAAATAATTGCCTCCACGGATATGGTCTGATTTTGTCTAGGCTGCTTTAAAGTAAGGCAAGACCTGCCTCATAATATGTAGTAAAACGTTCAGCTTTCCAACAATGAAGTACAGCGCCTTCAGAAAGTATTCAGACCCCTTGACTTTTTCCACATTTTGTTACGTTACAGCCTTATTCTAAAATGGATTCAATTGTTTTTTCCCCCTGATCAATCTACACCCCATAATGACAAAGCAATTTTAAAAATATCACATTTACATAAGTTTTCAGACCCTTTACTCAGTACTTTGTTGACGCACCTTTGGCAGCGATTACAGCCTCGAGTCTTCTTGAGTATGACGCTACAAGCTTGGCACACCTGTATTTGGGGAGTTTCTCCCATTCTTCTCTGCAGATCCTCTCAAGCTCTGTCAGGTTGGATGGGGAGCGTCGCTGCACAGCTATTTTCAGGTCTCTCCAGAGATGTTCGATCGGGTTCAAGTCCGGGCTCTGGCTGTGCCGCTCAAGGACATTCAGAGACTTGTCCCGAAGCCACAACTGTGTTGTCTTGGCTGTGTGCTTAGGGTCGTTGTCCTGTTGGAAGGTGAACCTTCGCCCCAGTCTGAGCGCCCTGGAGAAGGTTTTCATCAAGGATCTCTCTGTACTTTGCTCCGTTCATCTTTGCCTCGATCCTGACTAGTCTCCCAGTCCCTGCTCCTGAACAACATCCCCACAGCATGATGCTGCCACCACCATGCTTCACCGTAGGGATGGTGCCAGGTTTCCTCCAGACGTGACGCTTGGCATTCAGGCCAAAGAGTTCAATCTTGGTTTCATCAGACCAGAGAATCTTGTTTCTCATGGTCTGAGAGTCTTTAGGTGCCTTTTGGCAAACTCCAAGCGGACTGTCATGTGCCTTTGACTAAGGAGTGGCTTCCGTCTGGCCACTCTACCATAAAGGTCTGATTGGTGGAGTGCTGCAGAGATGGTTTTCCTTTTGGAAGGTTCTCCCATCTCCACAGAGGAACTCTGGAGCTCTGTCAGAGTGACCATCGGGTTCTTGGTCAGCTCCCTGACCAAGGCCCTTCTCCCCGATTGCTCAGTTTGGCCGGGCGGCCAGCTCTAGGAAGAGTCTTGGTGGTTCCAAACTTCTTCCATTTAAGAATGATGGAGGCCACTGTGTTCTTGGGGACCTTCACTGCTGCAGACATTTTCTGGTACCCTTCCCCAGATCTGTGCCTCGACACAATCCTGTCTCAGAGCTCTCCGGACAATTCCTTCAACCTCATGGCTTGGTTTGTGCTCTGACATGCACTGTCAACTGTGGGACCTTATATAGACGGGTATGTGCCTTTCCAAATCATGTCCAATCAATTGAATTTACCACAGGTGGATTCCAATCAAGTTGTAGAAACATCTCAAGGATGATCAATGGAAACAGGATGCACCTGAGCTCAATTTCGAGTCTCATAGCAAAGGGTCTGAATACTTATGTAAATTAGGTATTTCAGTTTTTTATTTTTTAAATGTGCTAAAAATTCTAAAAACCAGTTTTCGCTTTGTCATTATGGGGTATTGTGTGTAGATTGCTGAGGATTTTTATTTATTTAATCCATTTTAGAATAAGGCTGTAACGTTAACAAAATGTGGAAAAAGTCAAGGGGTCTGAATATCTTTCTGAAGGCATTGTATATGTTTTCGAAATGCATACTGCCTCCAGCTCATTGCGAAGTGGTGAGGAAGCCTCCCTTCCGTGGCTGTACCAGCAGCTCTCAGCTGTCTGTCAGATTTTCCTCTCAAAGGCTCTGCATCTGTATGCTGTGATAAATAAGATACATAACGAATATATATATATATATATATATACACGCGCCAGTTTAATTCCACTAAGTGATGCAAATTAACCTGTAGACTGATAAGCATGACGGGTCAAATGTATTTCTGTCGACTGGTATTTCCATCAGTGAAGAGGCTAAAAAACATTATTATTATTATTATTATTTCTTCTTCTTCTCCCCTCTGGTGCCAATTTTATTATGTTTTGTTTGTATTTTTTATATTTAATTTAATTATTATGTCGGCTTTGTATATCGGATGCCTTTAGCCGCTTTTGTCTGCTAAATGAATAGTGTCCAATGTTGTGTCCAATGTTGCTCAGGGATGGGCAACTGGTGGCCCCCGGATCGATTTGGTTGTGCGTCAACAGTATCTATTTTTATGTCGGTCACTAACAGTCACTCAATTAGTACATCAGCTACACATTTGTAGATTGGTAAATTAGTCTAGCGGCCAGCTATTTAAACTTGTTGTAATCATGGTCGAATTACCGACCAGGGGGCCCCGATTTTTAGATTTTGTTGGTCTCTCTCACTCAGATATCATATTAAAAACTGCAAACATTTCTCTACGCCCCCACTGCAAAATGTGTAGAATTGCAGGAAATTAACGCAGACCTGGGTGCCACTGCGGCCCCTCATGATGAGTTCAGATTTTTTTGTGCCCCCCCACCCCTATCAAAGTCCCTGATCTAACTCCTCTCCTTTGGTTCTGTTTGGTTCAGAGGTGAATGTCCACAGGTTGGACCTGGAGGGAATCGCAGTCAAAGGAAAGGGTTGTCCCAAGCCCATGAAGTCATGGGTTCAGTGTGGCACGTCTATGAAGATCCTAAGTGCGCTGAAGAGGTGAGTGTCACAGACAATGTTTTACATCGTAGCCGATTTATAAAAGTAACTCACACGTTGTTCCAAACGAATAGGACAGTAACATACATTTTGTTATGCAATCTGCAGTTGATCAAAACAAATGTTATTTGTCACATGCTTGGTATAGACTAACGCAACAGGTATAGACTAACAGTGAAAATGCTGACTTACGGGCCCTTCCCAACAATACAGAGAGAAATAAATATAAATAATATACAAATAATAACACGTGGAATAAATACACAATGAGTAACGATAACTTGGCTATATACACACGGGGTACCAGGTAATAACCTGCCTATATACACACGGGGTACCAGGTAATAACCTGCCTATATACACATGGGGTACCAGTACCGAGCCGATGTGCAGGGGTACCAGGTAATAACCTGGCTATATACACACGGGGTACCAGTACCGAGCCGATGTGCAGGGGTACCAGGTAATAACCTGCCTATATACACACGGGTTACCAGCACCGAGCCGATGTGCAGGGGTACCAGGTAATAACCTGGCTATATACACACGGGGTACCAGTACCGAGCCGATGTGCAGGGGTACGAGGTAATTGATGTAGATACAGTATGTACATTTAGGTAGGGATGAAGTGACTAGGCAACAGGATAGATTATATACAGTAACAGCAGCGTATGTGATGAGCCAAAACAGTTGTTGCAAAAAGGGTCAATGCAGATAGTCCGGTTAACTGTTGGTTAACTATTTAACTAACTATTTAGCAGTTTTATAGCTTGGGGGTAGAAGCTGTTCAGGGTCCTGTTGGTTCCAGACTTGGTGCATCAGTACCGCTTACCGATGCACAGCTTCTAGGGCCTTCCTCTGACACCGCCTGGTATAGAGGTCCTGGATGGCAGGGAGCTCGGCCCCAGTGATGTACTGGGCCGTACGCACTACCCTCTGTAGTGACTTGCGGTCGGATGCCAAGCAGTTGCCATACCAAGCGGTAATGCAGCCAGTCAAGATGTTCTCATTGGTGCCATTGTAGAACTTTTGGAGGATCTGAGGGCCCATGTCGAATCTTTTCAGCCTCCTGAGGGGGAAGAGGCGTTGTCGTGCCCTCTTCACGACTGTGTTGGTGTGTGTGGACCATGATAATTCCTTAGTGATGTGGACACCGAGGAACTTGAAGCTCTCGACCTGCTCCGCTACAGCCCCGTCGATGTGGATGTTGGCGTGCTTGGCCCTCCATTTCCTGTACTCCACGATCAGTTACTTTGTCTTGCTGACGGTGAGGTTGTTGTCTTGGCCTCCTCCCTGTAGGCTGTCTCATCGTTGTCGGTGATCAGGCCTACCACTGTCGTGTCGTCTGGAAACTAAATGATGGTGTTGGAGTCGTACTTGGCCACGCAGTCATGGGTGAACAGGGGGTACAGGAGGGGACTAAGCATGCACCCCTGAGGGGCACCCGTGTTGAGGGTCAGCGTGGCAGATGTGTTGTGGCCTTCTTCACCACTGGTAGCGGCCCGTCAGGAATTCCAGGATCCAGTTGCAGAGGGAGGTGTTTAATCCCGGGGTCTTTAGTTTAGTGATGAGCTTGGAGGGCACTATGGTGTTGAACGCTAAGCTGTAGTCAATGAACAGCATTCTCACCTAGGTGTTCCTTTTGTCCAGATGGGAAAGGGTAGTGTGGAGTGCAATGGAGATTTTCATCTGTTGGGGCGGTATGTGAATTGGAGTGGGTCCAGGGTGTCTGTTATGAAGGTGTTGATGTGAGCCATGACCAGCCTTTCAAAGCATTTCATGTCTACAGATGTGAGTGCAACAGGGCGGTAGTCATTTAGACAGGTTACCTTGGCGTTCTTGGGCACAGGGACTATGATGGTCTGCTTGAAACATGTAGTTATTGCGGACTGGGTCAGGAAGAGATTGAAAATGTCAGTGAAGACACTTGCCAGCTGGTCAGCGCATGCTGGTAATCCGTCTGGCCCTTCAGCCTTGTGAATGTTGACCTGTTTAAAGGTCTTACTCACATCGGCTACGGAGATCGTGATCACACTGTCGTCCGGAACAGCTGGGGCTCTCTTGCATGGTTCAGTGTTGTTAGCATCGACGCAAGCATAGAAGGTATTTAGCTTGTCTTGAAGGCTCACGTCACTGGACAGCTCGTGGCTGCGTTTCCCTTTGTAATCCGTGATAGTTTGACGCGTTGCCTGTCTGATGGTTCGTCGGAGGGCGTAGCGGGATTTCTTATAAGCGTCCGGATTAGTGTCCTGCTCCTTGAAAGCGGCAGCTCTAGCCTTTAGCTCAATGCGGATGTTGCCTCTGATTCACTTGCCATACATTGTCCGTACACTTCTAGATTAGTTGTGTTTTAAATGATGTTGTCTTCACATCTCCAGACACAGCTATGAGAAACCCACACCCATCCAGGCCCAGGCCATTCCAGCCATCATGTCTGGGAGAGATCTCATCGGCATCGCTAAGACCGGCAGTGGAAAGACCATCGCCTTCCTCCTTCCCATGTACCGCCACATCATGGACCAAAGGCCCCTGGAGGAGGCTGAGGGACCCATCGGTAAGGGCCCATTTTCTCGTTTTCTGTTGTACAACCCCATATCAGTTGCACCTAAATTAACCTGAATGCTGGACGTCTCTGATTTCTAAGTGTAAATAACAATTTGAATTTGCTGAGCAGAGTGGTGTTATCTATCAGACAGTATGAATGGTGTTCAGTGAAGATCCTCTATTTCGTGAAGGGCAAATAAACGATGAGAGTATGTTGTCTGAGTGCTATTGTCCATTTATCTTCCCCATTTTTCAGCTGTGATCATGACTCCCACTAGAGAGCTGGCTCTGCAGATCACCAAGGAGTGCAAGAAGTTCTCCAAGCCACTGAACCTGAGGGTTGTGTGTGTGTATGGAGGCACGGGGATTAGTGAACAGGTAGAACATCCTCGAACTCTGTGAGGTCAGGGGTTATTGTTAACCAGTACCTCATCATGGAGTAGTGTTACATGGTTGTAATTATGCTTTACCATGATCTAAAATATATATATATAATAATTAATAATAATAACTGGTGTGTATATATATATATATATATATATATATATATATATATATATATATATATATATATATATATATATATATATATATTGTACATTGCGTTTAAAGAAATCCTGGGTTGTAGGTTTGAATAATCCAGGGCTCGATATTAATGCTTGTTCTCTTGTTGGACAAGAAGAATATAGATTTAAATTGTCCGAATGGACAAGTAAAAAAAAACATCACAATATCAAACAGTTAGCCTACTCCGATCAGAAGTGTAGGTGATATGCATATTGGCTACAGCCTCATGTCCAAATCCATGCTGACATGAGTGAGGCGCCAGAAAATGGAGCCAAACATTGAGGCTTTTAATTATATAAATTATATTTTATAAAGCGATGAGGCTGGTGCAACAGATCAAACCAGAAATAAAACTTTATCAACATTTTAAGCTAAACGGTCTGATCTGTTGAATCAGCCTCATTTGCTTTTTTAAAATGTTTTAATGTGCAGGGGTTGAATGAATTTAGGATCTGTCGTCACAGAACTGTCCCAGATTTTTTTTTTTATAAAGACATAAAAAGTATTTGGTTGCTCTATTTTATAAGCTACCAAGTGTGGCCAACCATTCTCCAGGAGAGCTTTAAAGGGGCAGTGTTGTATTTTATTTTATTTTTTACTGTCAAGCCCTGTAATCAGTTAGGAAAAGGCAAACAGGATTGTACGTTGGTTGAATATCGTTATCTTAAATTGTTTGTTTCTTCCTTGTGGGGCAGATTGCTGAGCTGAAGAGAGGAGCAGAGATCATTGTGTGCACACCAGGCCGAATGATTGACATGTTAGGTGCCAACAGCGGTGAGTGACACACCTGGTCCCACACCTCTCTTTGTGTTATTGTAGCCAGGTACATATAACGATAGGGATTTCTGATATGTGATAAACTTGCAGTGTCTGTTTTTTAAAATATATATATATTTTTTAAAAGTCTGCAATGTCCAGTGTTATAATTATTTTGACGTAGAAACGTCACTAACTGACCCTGAAAACACAAGCACTGAAGGTACTGATAGAAAGTGAGCTGTAAATGTCCTGCCTTGCATGGAATGTTTCTGTATGAGAGTCAAGTCAGTACCACTTTTACTAAACTGTCAACATTATCTGACCACCTTGGGAGTCATATCCTCAAGCCATTTGAAGTGTTTCCTGAAGAATAATTTCAGCTACAGGTAGGTGGAGACACGATACCGCCTCGTGGTCCTCACGTTCAGAGGCGTAAGTCCCAAGTTTTCAAACAACCTCTATCCAAGTCAAATGTTGCTTGTTTTTAGTCATGTAAAAGGCAGACATGTGACTCGTGTATGGATTTGAATAACATGTGAAGCTTTAAAGTAGATCATTGTTGTCCGAAAGGTGTGAAATATATTTTGATCAGTATTAAAGTCATTGTTTTATGACAGTATATAAATGCTAAATTAAAACATTAAAAACATGTAATGAAACAGACAGTATAGCGTTCTTTCCTTCCACACATGCCAGGTAATCTCTATGTTTCCTTTTTAGGTGAAAAGACGGTCAGATAGTGCATCATGTGGCCCCATCTCTTTTATTGTATTGGCTGTTTTCTGACATTTACAGGTTCCTCGTGCCCCTGAGATGGTACGCAACACAAGACAAAATATAGAAACCAAATAATCTGGCTACTTTAAAAGTAGTCCTGAACAGAACAAATGGCAGTTGTGTGAATTGAAGTGAAGTATTTAAATGCCCTAGGAAAAGGATAGCCCCTTTTGTATAGGCTTGTTGAGGTATATTTACCAGTAGGTTCAGGAACTTTGTGTGAAAGCTTTGAGTGAACCTACTTTCCAGAGAGTAACTTGTTTTCCTGTGTCACTATACTTTCCTTGGGTGTGTAGGTCGGGTCACAAACCTGCGGCGAGCCACGTACGTGGTGGTGGACGAGGCAGATAGAATGTTCGACATGGGCTTTGAGCCACAGGTAGGTGCTCCTCCAGATAGAATATTCAACATGGGCTTTGAGCCACAGGGAGGTGCTCCTCCAGATATAATATTCAACATGGGCTTTGAGCCACAGGGAGGTGCTCCTCCAGATAGAATATTCAATATGGGCTTTGAGCCACAGGGAGGTGCTCCTCCAGATAGAATATTCAACATGGGCTTTGAGCCACAGGGAGGTGCTCCTCCAGATATAATATTCAACATGGGCTTTGAGCCACAGGGAGGTGGCACATTATTGTCATTATAGACGCACATTATTGTCATTAATTTGTTAATAATTAAAATCCAAGGAGGTGTTTTTAAGCGTATTAAAACACAAAAACAGACTTGCATCAATTCATCTCATAGCAGCTATTTAAACCTGACCCTGGCACCAGAATAATAGGTAAAATCCTCTCCTGTAATGTTTCCTTCCCCCAGGTGATGCGTATCATGGACAACGTGCGTCCAGACCGGCAGACGGTCATGTTCTCAGCCACGTTCCCGCGGGCCATGGAGGCCCTGGCCAGGAGGATCCTCTCCAAGCCCATCGAGGTGCAGGTGGGAGGCAGGAGTGTGGTGTGCTCCGACGTGGAGCAACATGTGGTAAGACTGGCCTTTTTACATTCTCCCGGTGCGTCCCAAATATCACCCTATATTGTACACTACTTTTGACCAAGGACCATAGGGCTCTGGTCAAAGGTAGTGCACTGTAAAGGGAGTAGGGTGCGTCCTCCATCTCATTATCCTTTTTTGGTGCCCTATGGATAGTGCCAGGAGTTATTTCCTGTAGTCAGTATGATGAGGAAAAACTCCTGTTCCACTCTGGATATTATATCATTTGTAAACCATCCAGTCAGAGTAGGGTTCCCCAACTGGCCGCCTGCAGGCCGTTGATTTTATTTTGCTCCTAAAGTTTTATGAGCAAAACAGTTATTTATTTATTTTTGGACATAAGACTGTAAAAACACTAGCAAGTGATTTTTAATTTTGGAAATGTGTTCCAAAAAATTATCACGCATAGTAAAGATACAGTATAGACTGTATGCGATCGTATACCAACGTAAGAAAGGTTTTAAATTATGTTTTAGTCAAATATTAGATCTGTTTGGGCTTCTTGCAGTCAATTTTCAGTTTATAAATGATGTGTTTTTTTATAGTTTTTTTATTTCACCTTTATTTAATTGTGTAATTATGTTCTGGCCCCCTGACCATCCGCTCAAGAAGAAATCGGCCCGCGTCTGAATCTAGTTGATGGTCCCTCCGTTAGAGGATGGTTTACATGTGTCAATGTATTGATTGGTTCTGTTGATGTTTTGATTGGTTCTGTCAATGTATTGATTGGTTCTGTTGATGTTTTGATTGGTTCTGTCAATGTATTGATTGGATTCTGTTGATGTTTTGCACCATAATGACTTTGGCACAATAACCGTGTAACCAACGGTTATGAATGAAGACCGTCATGAAAATAAAATAACCATCATAATCGTTAAATAAATAATTCTATATATATATATATGCTGAACCAAAAATATCAACGCAACATGCAACAATTTTAAAGATTTTACTGAGTTACATAAATTAATTAGGCCCTAATCTACAGTACCAGTCAAAAGTTTGGACACACCTACTCTTTCCAGGGTTTTTCTATCATTGGACTACTTTCTACATTGTAGAATAATAGTGAAGAAATCAATCATGTAGTAACCAAGTGGAATCATGTAGTAACCAAGTGGAATCATGTAGTAACCAAGTGGAATCATGTAGTAACCAAGTGGAGTCATGTAGTAACCAAAAAAGTGTTAAGAAATAGATACTTCAAATAGCCACCCTTTGCCTTGATGACAGCTTTGCGCATGGGTGACATGTCTGGTGAGTATGCAGGCCATCGAAGAACTGGGAAAATGTCCTCTTCCAGGAATTGTGTACAGATCCTTGCGACATTGGGCTGTGCATTATCATGCTCAAACATGAGGTGATGGTGGCGGATGAATGGCACGACAATGAACCTCAGGATCTCGTCACGGTATCTCTGTGCATTCAAATTGCCATCGATTTAAAATGCAATCGTGTTCTTTGTCCATAGCTTATGTCTGTCCATACCATAACCCCACCGCCACCATGGGGCACTCTGTTCACAACGTTGAGCAAACCGCTCGCCCACACGACGCCGTACACGCTGTTCTGCCATCTGCTCAGTACAGTTGAAACTGCGATTCATTCATCTGTGAAGAGCACACTTCTCCAGTGGCCATCAAAGGTGAGCATTTTCCCACTCAAGTCAGTTACGACGCTGAACTGCAGTCAGGTCAAGACTCTGGTGAGGACGACGAGCACGCAGATGAGCCAGTCAGGTCAAGACCCTGGTGAGGACGACGAGCACGCAGATGAGCCAGTCAGGTCAAGACTCTGGTGAGGACGACGAGCACGCTGATGAGCCAGTCAGGTCAAGACTCTGGTGAGGACGACGAGCACGCAGATGAGCCAGTCAGGTCAAGACTCTGGTGAGGACGACGAGCACGCTGATGAGCCAGTCAGGTCAAGACTCTGGTGAGGACGACGAGCACGCAGATGAGCCAGTCAGGTCAAGACTCTGGTGAGGACGACGAGCACGCAGATGAGCCAGTCAGGTCAAGACTCTGGTGAGGACGACGAGCACGCTGATGAGCCAGTCAGGTCAAGACTCTGGTGAGGACGACGAGCACGCTGATGAGCCAGTCAGGTCAAGACCCTGGTGAGGACGACGAGCACGCTGATGAGCCAGTCAGGTCAAGACTCTGGTGAGGACGACGAGCACGCTGATGAGCCAGTCAGGTCAAGACTCTGGTGAGGACGACGAGCACGCAGATGAGCCAGTCAGGTCAAGACCCTGGTGAGGACGACGAGCACGCTGATGAGCCAGTCAGGTCAAGACTCTGGTGAGGACGACGAGCAGATGAGCCAGTCAGGTCAAGACTCTGGTGAGGAAGACGAGCCAGTCAGGTCAAGACTCTGGTGAGGAAGACGAGCTGACGAGCCAGTCAGGTCAAGAGTCTGGTGAGGAAGACGAGCACGCTGATGAGCCAGTCAGGTCAAGACCCTGGTGAGGAAGACGAGCTGATGAGCTTCCCTAAGACGGTTTGTGCTGAAATTCTTTGGATGTGCAAACCCACCGTTTCCTCGGCTGTCTGGGTGGTTGGTCTCAGACGATCCCGCAGGTAAAGAAGCCTGATGTGGAGGTCCTGGGCTGGCGTGGTTACACATGGTCTGCGGGTTGTGAGGCCGGATGGACGTACTGCCAAATTATCTTAAACGACGTTGGAGGCGGCTTATGGTAGAGAAATTAACATTAAATTATCTGTCAACAGCTCTGGTGGACATTCCTGCAGTCGGCATGCCAATTGCACGCTCCCGCAAAACTTGAGACATCTGTGGCATTGTGTTGTGTGACAAAACTGCACATCTTAGAGTGCCCTTTTATTGTCCCCAGCACAAGGTGCACCTGTGTAATGATCATGCTGTTTAGTCAGCTTCTTGATATGCCACACCTGTCAGGTGGATTGATTATCTTGGCAATGGAGAAATGCTCACTAACAGGGATATAAACAAATTTGTGCACAAACTTTGAGATAAATAAGCTTTCTGTGCGTATGAAACATTTCTGGGATCTTATTTCAGCTCATGGAACATGGGACCAACACTTTACATGTTGCGTTTTTATATTTTTGTTCAGTGTGTATACAGTGCCTTCAGAAAGTATTCACACCCCTTTACTTTTTCCACATTTTGTGTTACAGCCTAAATTTAAAATGGATACAATTTTTAGATTTTGTGTGACTGGCCTACACACAATACCCCATTTAAAAATGTTAATGAATAAGAAGATATCTCATACTTTATATATTCCATATTGGTCATTTTGCTAAATGAGTGTTGCTGCCATTTCTCTCTATCTAGCTGAAGTCGCACAGACGTCCATGTTTTTCCTCATCGTGTATTCTCTCCATCTAGCTGGTAATCGAGGAGGACCAGAAGTTCCTGAAGCTGCTGGAGATACTGGGTCATTACCAGGAGAAGGGCTCGGTCATCATCTTCGTGGACAAACAGGAGCACGCTGACGGGCTGCTCAAAGACCTGATGAAGGCCTCCTACCCCTGCATGTCTCTACACGGGGGTAATGTCATGCAAACACACCGTTAGTCTGAGGCTCTTCCCCAAATGGTCCTCTGGTCAAAAGTAGTGCATTATGTAGAGCCTTCAAACTCAACTCTGGACCTGGAAGCCAGTTCCACTGCGTTCCCCTCTAATCAGGGACTGATTTTAGACCTGGGACACCAGATGTGTGCAATTTTAATTATCAGGTAGAACAGAAAACCAGCAGGCTCCGGACGTCATAGGGTAAGAGTTGAATAGCCCATGATGTAGAGTATTGGGGGCCATTTGGGACGCCCCTGAGTTAGTCCGGGGTTTGAAAGTGACCCATTTTCATTTTATTATAGCTTCTAATTAAACCACGTTTTATGGCAGATGAACGTTTCGCCCTCTACCATGTTTAGTCGTTTGAACTATGTCCTTTGACAACAAGCGTTTGTTTGTCTCCGTCCCACTCCCTGTAGGCATTGACCAGTACGACAGAGACAGTGTCATCAATGACTTTAAGAACGGGGCGTGTCGGCTGATGGTGGCCACCTCTGTGGCAGCCAGGGGGCTGGACATCAAGCAGCTGATCCTGGTCGTCAACTACAACTGCCCCAACCACTACGAGGACTACGTCCACAGGGCCGGACGCACAGGGAGAGCCGGGAACAAAGTCAGTGGTGGCTCTGCACTAGGCTATCAACCTAATTCGTTATTATTACTGGTTTATCAAGAATTCCAGAAATTCTGATCACTGAAACAAATCACTGGGCAAAATTTTAAAAATGTTCATCCCCCAAGGACCTCTTCAACCATATTAGAAGGAAAAAAAGGAGAGATTCTCACTGAAACATTTGATTGATATGTGTTTCCGTCTTCTGGTGGTACGAGTACTGGGGTGATGTCGGCGTTAATGTGTCACCGTGTTTGAGGTGTTGGCAGCTGCATAGGCTATTCTCATGAGCAGTGGCGACATACTCTCTCTGTCCATCACCGTTGTAATCTACTGGGAAGCCAAAATGTTCCCAAACTGGAGATTTAAACGATGATGGAGACTCCTCCTGGTTTATCGACCCCACCACTCGCCATCATACAGAATTAGTTCCCGGCTGCGCCTCACAAAAGGACAGTTTGAAATTAAAGTCTTGAATTTTGATTACACAATTTTACATTTTACATTTTAGTAATTTAAGGGCACATCGACAGATTTTTCACCTAGTCGGCTCGGGGATTAGAACCAGCGACCTTTCGGTTACTGGCACAACGCTCTTAACCACTAAGCTACCTGCCACAAATTTCAGCTCAGATTTACTCGAGCTGCGTAAGCATAGCCTATAGGCCTGGCGTTTTTAATTGGTTGGATCTTTTTCGACGTATTCATTTGGGTTCACAGTGAGGACCGAACCCACGTCCCCCCTGTACTGAACGGTTCGCTACAAATACCTATACACTGTTACAACCCTCATTTAAAAACCACCCCGATTTGTTGTGTCCTCAGGGCTTTGCCTACACCTTCATTACAGACGAGCAGGCGCGCTACGCCGGGGATATCATCAAGGCCCTGGAGCTCTCGGGGTCCCCTGTGCCCAAAGAACTGGAGCAGCTGTGGCTGTCCTTCAAAAACCAACGGCAAGCGGTAAAGAGGAAGACTAATGTAGTGTTGTTCCGGTGTTGTCATGGAAGCTCACTGTCTTTTTGTATGCGGAATGTGTGGCCAGCTAAAACCGTGCGTTGGAGCTGATGATTGTCAGCGACGATTTACATATTATGTTCTGTGGCCTTTGTTTCTTCAACTCCTGTTCAACAAGATTTAGACCTGTTTGTCGCTGGCTTTACTTCCCATTTGCTGCCAACCAGCATTGGTGTCATCAGTATGTGAACGAAGGCAGGCGAATGTGACACACCCTCTCAAAAACGGCCTTTTCTTTCCCCAGGAGGGTAAAAGCATCAAGAGCAGCAGCGGGTTCTCGGGGAAGGGCTTCAAGTTTGACGAGACGGAGCATGCTCTGGCCAACGAGAGGAAGAAGCTGCAGAAGGCTGCTCTGGGTCTGCAGGACTCTGATGATGAGGATGGAGCCATGGATGTGAGTACAGGTTCTGATGATGAGGATGGAGCTCTGGATGTGAGAGGTACAGGTTCTGATGATGAGGATGGAGCTCTGGATGTGAGGTACAGGTTCTGATGATGAGGATGGAGCTCTGGATGTGAGGTACAGGTTCTGATGATGAGGATGGAGCTCTGGATGTGAGGTACAGGTTCTGATGATGAGGATGGAGCTCTGGATGTGAGAGGTACAGGTTCTGATGATGAGGATGGAGCTCTGGATGTGAGGTACAGGTTCTGATGATGAGGATGGAGCTCTGGATGTGAGGTACAGGTTCCACACTATTCTAAAGCCTAGAGTAGAATGCCAACTGTGGCTTGATTAGGTCTCAGTCCCAATGGCACCTTATTCCTTTTATAGTGCACCGTTTTTGACCAGGGCCCATAGGGTTATATAGGGAATAGGGTGTCATTGGGGAAGCACACACTCACCTGGTTCCAGACACTTCTAAAACCTTCAGTAGAATGGCAACTATGGCTTGATAATGTATTGCATTCCCTCCATTGTGGTCAAACGGTATGTTTCTAAACTATCCTAGAATACGTACTATATTGACCCGATATCTCACCCTGTCCTTACAGATAGATGAGCAGATCGAGAACATGTTCAACTCGAAGAAGAGGGTGAAGGATCTGTCAGCTCCAGGGGGAGGGCCGCCCAGTGCTGCGGCCGCGGCGGCTGCGGGAGGCCTGGCCAACCTCGGTGCCCCCTCTGCTGGAAACATCCAGAAACTGGAGATGGCCAAGAGACTGGCTCTCAGGATCAACGCCCAGAAGAACCTGGGGGCTGAGGCTCAGGTGGGTGTGGCCGTTTCTCTGCGAGTTGTTTTTAGTAGTCTTCACTTTCCATCCTAACGTAATCCATTGCTCTCTCTGGACAGGATGTGATGCAACAGGCCACCAACGCCATCCTGAGAGGAGGCACCATCATGGCCCCCTCCGTCTCGGCCAAGACCATCGCCGAGCAGCTGGCTGAGAAGATCAACGCAAAGCTCAACTACATCCCTGTGGAGAAGCTGGAGGAGGAGAAGCAGGCGGCAGAGCAGGCCGAGACCGTCAAGAGATACGAAGAGGAGTTGGACATCAATGATTTCCCTCAGGTCAGTTTATATGGGGCTGGATCCCAAACGGCACCCTGTTCCCTATATAGTGCACTACTTTTGACCAGAGCCTTATGGAATAGGGTGCTGTTTGGGACGTACACCTAGGGTGTAGGTGCAGGACTCTGCTCATTGAAGGTGTACACACCATCGCTACATGAACTATGCATTACTTTATCATGCTAATTATCTTTTCAGTTGAACATTGAATAGTCTATTTACCATGTCTGTCCCTTGACAGAGTTTACGGTAAAAGCACTAGCTGGTAGATCTTATTCGCATTTGTGACCGACCGGCTCGATTCGGTTTTACGTAGCAAAATTTGAAATGATAAAAGTAGAGACTCGTTGAGGAAAGTTGGGAAAGTAATTCTGCTTTGAAAGTTGATAAACTTGTAACTTCACTCATGAGAAAATGGCCCTTGAATGTTTTGGTAGCTACTGGAGAGTACAACCTGGAATTAAAATGGATTTTTGGGGGGGGTTGTATCATTTGATTTACACAACATGCCTACCACTTTGAAGATGCAAAATATTTTTTCTTGTGAAACAAACAAGAAATAAGACAAAAAAACAGAACTTGAGCGCGCATAACTATTCACCCCCCCAAAGTCAAAGCTATCCAACCTTATCAGTGACCTCAACCAAGTGATTGCCTTTTCCCTTAGTCACTTTCCAGGCCCATACTTCTTATCCAACCTCCATTGACCCCACCATATACATTCCTCATACATGTAGCCATTAACTTCTAGTATAGCAGGTACAGTGGCTTGCGAAAGTATTCACCCCCCTTGGCATTTTTCCTATTTTGTTGCCTTACAAACTGGAATTAAAATGGATTTTTGGGGGGTTTGTATCATTTCATTTACACAACATGCCTACCACTTTGAAGATGCAAAATATTTTTTTATTGTGAAACAAACAAGAAATAAGACAAAAAAACAGAAAACGTGAGCGTGCATAACTATTCACCCCTCCAAAGTGAATACTTTGTAGAGCCACCTTTTGCAGCAATTACAGCTGCAAGTCTCTTGGGGTATGTCTCTATAAGCTTGGCACATCTAGCAAAACTGCTCCAGCTCCTTCAAGTTGGATGGGTTCCGCTGGTGTACAGCAATCTTTATGTCATACCACAGATTCTCAATTGGATTGAGGTCTGGGCTTTGACTAGGCCATTCCAATACATTTTAAATGTTTTCCCTTAAACCACTCAAGTGTTGCTTTAGCAGTATGCTAAGGGTCATTGTCCTGCTGGGAGGTGAACCTCCGTCCCAGTCTCAAATCTCTGGAAGACTGAAACAGGTTTCCCTCAAGAATTTCCCTGTATTTAGCGCCATCCATCATTCCTTCAATTCTGACCAGTATCCCAGTCCCTGCCAATGAAAAACATCCCCACAGCATGATGCTGCCACCACCATGCTTCACTGTGGGGATGGTGTTCTCGGGTGATGAGAGGTGTTGGGTTTGTGCCAGACATAGCGTTTTCCTTGATGGCCAAAAAGCGCAATTGTAGTCTCATCTGACCCAAGTACCTTCTTCCATATGTTTTGGGAGTCACCCACATGCCTTTTGGTGAACACCAAACGTGTTTGCTTATTCTTTTCATTAAGCAATGGCTTTTTCTGGCCACTCTTCCGTAAAGCCCAGCTCTGTGGAGTGTACGGCTTAAAGTGGTCCTATGGACAGATACTACATTCTCCGCTGTGGAGCTTTGCAGCTCCTTCAGGGTTATCTTTGGTCTCTTTGTTGCCTCTCTGATTAATGCCCTCCTTGCCTGGTCTGTGAGTTTAGGTGGGCGGCCCTCTCTTGGCAGGTTTGTTGTGCTGCCGTATTCTTTTAATTTTTTTATAATGGATTTAATGGTGCTCCGTGGCATGTTCAAAGTTTCTGATATTTTTATAACCCAACCCTGATCTGTACTTCTCCATGACTTTGTCCCTGATCTGTTTGGAGAGCTCCTTGGTCTTCATGGTGCCGCTTGCTTAGTGGTGTTGCGGACTCTGGGGGCCTTTCAGAAGAGGTGTATTCAGTGGGGAGAACAAGTATTTGATACACTGCCGATTTTGCAGGTTTTCCTACTTACAAAGCATGTAGAGGTCTGGATTTTATATCATAGGTACACTTCAACTGTGAGAGACGGAATCTAAAACAAAAATCCAGAAAATCACATTGGATGATTTTTTAGTAATTAATTCGCATTTTATTGCATGACATAAGTATTTGATCACCTACCAACCAGTAAGAATTCCGGCTCTCACAGACCTGTTAGTTTTTATTTAAGAAGCCCTCCTGTTCTCCACTCATTACCTGTATTAACTGCACCTGTTTGAACTCGTTACCTGTATAAAAGACACCTGTCCACAACACTCAATCAAACAGACTCCAACCTCTCCACAATGACCAAGACCAGAGAGATGTGTAAGGACATCAGGGATAAAATTGTAGACCTGCACAAGGCTGGGATGGACTACAGGACAATAGGCAAGCAGCTTGGTGAGAAGGCAACAACTGTTGGCGCAATTATTAGAAAATGGAAGAAGTTCAAGATGACGGTCAATCACCCTCGGTCTGGGGCTCCATGCAGATTATTTCACTTATAATTCACTGTATCACAATTCCAGTGGGTCAGAAGTTTACATACACTAAGTTGACTGTGCCTTTAAACAGCTTGGGAAATTCCAGAAAATGATTTCATGGCTTTAGAAGCTTCTGATAGGCTAATTGACATCATTTGAGTCAATTGGAGGTGTACCTGTGGATGTATTTCAAGGCCTACCTTCAAACTCAATGCCTCTTTGCTTGACATAATGGGAAAATCAAAAGAAATCAGCCAAGACCTCAGAAAAAAGTCTGGTTCATCCATGGGAGCAATTTCCAAACGCCTGAAGGTACCACCTTCATCTGTACAAACAATAGTACGCAAGTATAAACACCATGGGACCACGCAGCCGTCATACCGCTCAGGAAGGAGACGCGTTCTGTCTCCTAGAGATGAACGTACAATGGTGCGAGAAGTGCAAATCAATCCCAGAACAACAGCAAAGGACCTTGTGAAGATGCTGGAGGAAACAGGTACAAAAATATATATATCCACAGTAAAACTAGTCCTATATCGACATAACCTGAATGGCCGCTCAGCAAGGAAGAAGCCACTGCTCCAAAACCGCCATAAAAAAGACAGACTACGGTTTGCAACTGCACATGGGGACAAAGATCGTACTTTTTGGAGAAATGTCCTCTGGTCTGATGAAACAAAAATAGAACTGTTTGGCCATAACATCGTTATGTTTGGAAGAAAAGGGGGGGCTTGCAAGCCGAAGAACACCATCCCAACCGAGAAGCACGGGGGTGGCAGCATCATGCTGTGAGGGTGCTTTGCTGCAGGAGGGACTGGTGCACTTTACAAAATAGATGGCATCATGAGGAAGGAAAATGATGTGGATATATTGAAGCAACATCTCAAGACATCAGTCAGGAAGTTAAATCTTGGTCGCAAATGGGTCTTCCAAGTGGACAATGACCCCAAGCATTCTTCCAAAGTTGTGGCAAAATGGCTTATGGACAACAAAGTCAAGGTATTGGAGTGGCCATCACAAAGCCCTGACCTCAATCCTATAGAAAATGTGGTTGTGAGTGTGACGAAATAAAAGCAGGGCATTCTATCTGAATTGTTTTACTTGGACGCTGTCTCATTGGCATAATTTATATCCTAATTTGACTTTGGTGCAGGTCATGTTGTTCTTCACATTACCTTCTCTGGTAAACACACACTATATCAAATAAAATCAAAGTTTATTTGTCACATGCACAGGATACAGAAGGTGTAAACGGTACAGTGAAATGGTTACTTGCATAGTGGAGCCTTTTGTTTAGACAACAATGAACCATAATCCCAACTCATAACATTACTACCGTGCATGAACCTGCAGGTAACTAAAGCTAACCAATTAGATTCAATGTTAGCTAGCTAGCTAACATTAGGCTATAACTAGCAATGCAAATGGCTTTCTGAGATATACAAATAATATTACTACACAGATCAAACACGTAATGTTAGCTAGCGAGCCAGCCAGCTAACGTTAGCTAGTTAACAGTATGCTTTAACTTGCAATAAAAATGACTCTGACAAAATTAGAAATGTATAATATCTGAAAATGTAGCTAGCTAGACTCTCTTATCCGTATACATGGATGAACGCTTCTTGCCCTTAGTTTGAAAATGTAATCCAGAGACCGGTGTTTTATTCTCAAAACTTTTTGACCACGACTGTACACATACTGAGCAGCTCATGTTATAGACAGAAGCACGCTACATGGCAGACCAATCCAAACTCATCTCTCGGCATGTCCAGCCCATCCATTATCTCAGCCAATCATGGCTAGCGGGAAGGTTCCGGTCTTTTTCCATGGCTAAACCAACTAGGCTCGTCATTTAACTATTTTATTGGTATTTACAGATGACATAGAAGTTTGTTATTAAGGCACATGAAAGTTCACATATTCCTGAAGGCATTTCTCCCAAAAAAAAAACGCATTTTGATAAAAAATAAATGTTTACGTTCAAATGCTGCTCCTGTGAAGTAGCGATGTGCGACATACGCCTAGTTTCCTGAAACGAGTCACATTTGATTGACATTTGTTTGCCCTATCAACAAAGTGATTGTGGTTTGAGTAGTTTATCCCACAAGGGGTAGGTGGTACAGACCTCTCAAAGCATCTCAGAATACGAGTCCTGATCTAGGATCTGTCCATATATAATATTATTCATTATGATCTAAAAAAGGGCAAAAACTGATCCTAGATCAAAACTCTTACACCGAGACGCTTTTGTGAAAACTGGCCTAAGCGAACGGGAAGATTTAATGTCTGTTTCCTGTTTTCAACCAGACTGCGAGGTGGAAGGTCACGTCTAAGGAGGCCCTCCAGAGGATCGGAGAGTACTCGGAGGCAGCCATCACCATCAGAGGGACCTACTTCCCTCCAGGCAAAGAGCCCAAAGAGGGAGAACGCAAGATCTACCTGGCTATTGAGAGTAAGCAGCTATTCCACTTGCATTGACAATTTCCAAAGTCTTCACCAATGTTGGAGAATTGAGTGTTGCGTGTTAGCGGTAGTGGGTGTTTTTTTTTGATGATGTCACTTGTCGTGATATTTTGACGTGTTCGACTGACAGGTGCCAATGAGCTGGCCGTTACGAAGGCCAAGGCTGAGATCACTCGGCTCATCAAGGAGGAGCTCATCAGATTAGTAAGTTCTGTCCATAAAATTAGATTAATTATATATGTATGGTTCTGTCCCCTGTTGTCTCTTTATTTATTTATATATGTATGTGTATTTATATGTATATGTGTATGTGTGTGTGTATATATGTATATATATATACATATAAATACACATTCACATACATATACATATACATACATATATGTGTGTGTGTGTGTGTATGTATGTATGTATGTGTATATATACAGTGAGGGGAAAAAAGTATTTGATCCCCTGCTGATTTTGTACGTTTGCCCACTGACAAAGACATGATCAGTCTATAATTTTAATGGTAGGTTTATTTGAACAGTGAGAGACAGAATAACAACAAAAAAATCCTGAATATTATATATATTAAATATTATCAATTGATTTGCATTTTAATGAGGGAAATAAGTATTTGATCCCTCTGCAAAACATGACTTAGTACTTGGTGGCAAAACCCTTGTTGGCAATCACGGAGGTCAGACGTTTCTTGTAGTTGGCCACCAGGTTTGCACACATCTCAGGAGGGATTTTGTCCCACTCCTCTTTGCAGATCTTCTCCAAGTCATTAAGGTTTCGAGGCTGACGTTTGGCAACTCGAACCTTCAGCTCCCTCCACAGATTTTCTATGGGATTAAGGTCTGGAGACTGGCTAGGCCACTCCAGGACCTTAATGTGCTTCTTCTTGAGCCACTCCTTTGTTGCCTTGGCCGTGTGTTTTGGGTCATTGTCATGCTGGAATACCCATCCACGACCCATTTTCAACGCCCTGGCTGAGGGAAGGAGGTTCTCACCCAAGATTTGACGGGACATGGCCCCGTCCATCGTCCCTTTGATGCGGTGAAGTTGTCCTTGTGGTCCTCTGTAGCTCAACTGGTAGAGCACGGCGCTTGTAACGCCAAGGTAGTGGGTTCGATCCCCGGGACCACCCATACACAAAAATGTATGCACGCATGACTGTAAGTCGCTTTGGATAAAAGCGTCTGCTAAATGGCATATTATTATATTATTATTATTATTATTATTGTCCTGTCCCCTTAGCAGAAAAACACCCCCAAAGCATAATGTTTCCACCTCCATGTTTGACGGTGGGGATGGTGTTCTTGGGGTCATAGGCAGCATTCCTTCTCCTCCAAACACGGCGAGTTGAGTTGATGCCAAAGAGCTTGATTTTGGTCTCATCTGACCACAACACTTTCACCCAGTTCTCCTCTGAATCATTCAGATGTTCATTGGCAAACTTCAGACAGCTTTCTTGAGCAGGGGGACCTTGCGGGCGCTGCAGGATTTCAGGCCTTCACGGTGTAGTGTGTTACCAATTGTTTTCTTGGTGACTATGGTCCCAGCTGCCTTGAGATCATTGACAAGATCCTCCCGTGTAGTTCTGGGCTGATTCCTCACCGTTCTCATGATCATTGCAACTCCACGAGGTGAGATCTTGCATGGAGCCCCAGGCCGAGGGAGATGGACAGTTATTTTGTGTTTCTGCCATTTGCGAATAATCGCACCAACTGTTGTCACCTTCTCACCAAGCTGCTTGGCAATGGTCTTGTAGCCCATTCCAGCCTTTGTGTAGGTCTACAATCTTGTCCCTGACATCCTTGGAGAGCTCTTTGGTCTTGGCCATGGTGGAGAGTTTGGAATCTGATTGATTGCTTCTGTGGACAGGTGTCTTTTATACAGGTAACAAACTGAGATTAGGAGCACTCCCTTTAAGAGTGTGCTCCTAATCTCAGCTCGTTACCTGTATAAAAGACACCTGGGAGCCAGAAATCTTTCTGATTGAGAGGGGGTAAAATACTTATTTCCCTCATTAAAATGCAAATCAATTTATAACATTTTTGACATGCATTTTTCTGGAATTTTTTGTTGTTATTCTGTCTCTCACTGTTCAAATAAACCTACCATTAAAATTATAGACTGACCAATTCTTTGTCAGTGGGCAAACATACAAAATCAGCAGGGGATCAAATACTTTTTTCCCTCACTGTGTGTGTGTGTGTGTGTGTGTGTGTGTGTGTATCTGCTATTTGAATGATTATGTTACTGATGCTAGGCCTAGGGTGTAATTGTAGAATCATTCTTGTCAATCTAATCATCTACATGTTGGTTGCATCATTGTATGATCCTGTGTATGAACACCAGTAATGAAAGTTGAATGTATTAAAAGTACTGAAAGTAATTCACTTAGCGAAAATAATTAAATAATAGTGTTTCTCATTGCTCAATAACAAATGTCTTCTCTAATTTTAGCAAAACTCCTACCAACCCACCAGCAAAGGAAGATACAAGGTTTTGTAGTGAGGACTTCTTTCTCCAACGTTTCATCATATTTGTTTCAGAATGTATTAGTATTTTTTTTTTTTTTTACTGTTAGACCAGTGACCTCCAGAAGGGATTGTTCTCGTGAGAGTACTTTCTCTTTTAGGCAAAGTTTCCTCTCTCTGTAATTTTAAGTGGAGATTTAGTCATGATTTTTAGGTTTCACAGCACAAAATGTATCTGATATCAATTATTTAATATACCAGCTGAAATGTAACGGCTCTCTACCACCATGACTCAAACATTTGCTTATTTTTGTCCTTAAACATCATGTAGTTGTAGATCCTGTATTTCCGTGTGTAAAATAATATCTTGGCCACTTGTCACTGGTCTGCAGTCATCTGAACGAGTAACAGTCCTTGAATGATGTAATGTGTTTTTAATTATTTCCCTCTAATAAAACAATGTGTTGGTAAGGAACACTGGTCTGTGTTCGATGAATTCTATACGAATGGTTTGTGTGTTTGCTCTGGATTTGATATTCTACAAATATTTTGTAGTGACAATCCTATCAGGCTATGATTAGGTTTTTTTTTGTAGCTAAAAAACGGTGCATATTATATGTGAAGTATAAGATGAAAACCTATTGACAGAATTCAAGCTTAACCATGAGGACAATGGAGGTTTGTGTATATACTGTAACTTGATCGCTTAATAATTATGGTCCTCTGTAGCTCAATTGGTAGAGCATGGCGCTTGTAACGCCGGGGTAGTGGGTTCGATCCCCGGGACCACCCATACGTAAAAATGTAAGCACACATGACTGTAAGTCGCTTGGGATAAAAGCGTCTGCTAAATGGCATATTATATTATTATTACGTATAGCCTATTGTGGAAAGAACCTGCTCAACTGATTTTTATTCATTTTTTTCTTTGGACTAAATTATTTAGTGTGCAGAAAAAGTGGTTTAAACTATTTCATGGTCCGTTGATCAATTTTCTACTTTCTAAATAGTGTTTTGGTCTTGGGAGGGATACGGTGTGACGTAACTTTACTGCGCATGCAAATAATGGGACAAAATTGATATTTTGAGGAAATGAGTTGATATGACAATTGCGAATGTATTCAAGAACTGGCATAAACACGATGAAAATGTAAGTCATAATTTGCTTGGAGTTGAGTTGCTGCTGCGATTCCCCTTTTGCAATACAGCACATGCGCAGTGTGTCCCTTTCACCTTATTAATTTTTAATGGCAATGGCTGCGTTTTTCATCTAAACCTCTCCCGCAAAACAACAAACCTATAAATACGACATTTCCTTGCACCTCTGACAAAAGGCGTTATCGATTTAGTAATAGTAATCGATCGCTTGTGATCTACGAAAAATGGATCGGCTGTAGAATTTGAAGATAGAAGATCTGTCATTTTTAACCCTTTCCATTCCATGATCCACAAACAATCGAGGTACAGTAAATGCCTGGTTTTATGAATTACTTTAATTTGCCATATTTCATGTTGTCGAAACGTCAATTTCTGAACATATTACTTGTAAATGAGCTTGTGGCAAGTGATTTCCTAAATTTGTTGTGAAAACGAAAGCTTTTGTGTCAGGGTTGTTTGCAAAATACAACGAACACCTAACTGATTAATATATTTAGCTGAAAAAGGGGGTAGGCATTACTAGGCAACTGTGATTTGGGAAGGCTAGTCATTTTAGCGCACATTGTATCATTGAGTCTTTATCATGATGAGAGACTAGTGAGCTGCACCACCCCTGTAGGTTCAACGAAGCTAACATTGCATGTTGACAATAGACCATTACAAGAGTCAAGATATTCTATACTTTTATACTTTAATAATTCCTTATGGGTGCAGTACAGAAGTTCTCTCATTTGAAGGATTCTACATCAGCACTGATTTTAACAGAACAGCCGATACGCAATATGCCACTATTGACTAGTCAACTAGTTTGTGGATGAGACCGGAATAGGATTACTCGATCTGCTCTTAACTCGCGCTAGCATTAGACCTGTAAAAGGTTATTCATTACATTTGAGTAGTTTTTTGCATTTTCTCTTGTATCCCATTGTTTTCTCCAGCAGAAGATGATGCGCCAGGTGACCAACAGTAATGACTATTGCATGAGTGGCAGGCCGTCGTGCCTGGCAGAGGATGGCCGACACCCCACCAGTCACTTTGACCTGTGCACTGCCCAGTCCAACAAGTTCTACCAACCTCCCCCGCCCCCTCCCTTGCAAATGACCTCGCCCCCTCTGTCCCTGCCACCCCAGAACACCCTGAAACCCATGCCCTGTCAGAGGCAGAACGGTCTCGGTGAACCTCACCCCCAAGCTGTGGGAGTCACGAACAACGAAAAGCCAGAGGACTCCAAGAAGAAGAAAAACCCGGGGAGGTCTGGGAGAAGGGGAAGGCCTTCGGGGACCACAAAATCGGCAGGTTACAGGACCAGCACAGGGAGGCCCCTGGGAACCACCAAGGCTGCCGGGTTCAAGACCAGCCCAGGGAGGCCCCTGGGAACCACCAAGGCAGCGGGCTATAAGGTCAGCCCTGGAAGGCCCCCTGGCAGTATCAAGACCCTGTCTCGCCTCAACAAACTAGGCTATGGTACGTGTAGCGCTGCAGCGTTCCCCTACACTATGATGAACAAAGGCGGCCTCTGCGAACCCTTGCGTAAAGAAAAGGAGACTAGCGAGTAAAGTCCTGCTTTTCTACGTTGTTGGAGGAGTAAAAAGGTGCATGTCCTAAAGTGCTGTCAAATAGAGGGGGGGGCCCGTTTTGTACCGTTTCCCTGGTTGAGTGTACATTTGTACATTTTTTTGTCATTTAGCAGACGCTCTTATCCAGAGCGACTTACAGTTAGTGAGTGCATACATTTTTCATACTGGCCCCCCCCCCATGGGAAACGAACCCACAACCCCTGGCGTTGCAAGCGCCATGCTCTACCAACTGAGCTACATCTGTACTATTAATGGCATGTGCCTCTTCGGCGTGCATGCTTCTATCCAAACCGGCTTTCTTTGTAACATACAGTATAGCTTATACGCTACGCTGAGTAGACAACATTAGGAACACCTTACTAATATTGAGTTGCATCACACCCCTTTTTGCCCTCAGAAAAGCCTCAATTCATTGGGGCATGGACTCTACAAGGTGTCGAAAAGCGTTCCACAGGGATGCTGGCCCATGTTGACTCCAATGCTTCCTACAGTTGCGTCAAGTTGGCTGGATGTCCTTTGGGTGGTGGACCATTCTTGATACACACGGGAAACTGTTGAGTGTGAAAAAACCCAGCAGCGTTGCAGTTCTTGACACAAACCGGTGCGCCCGGCACCTACTACCATACCCCATTCAAAGGCACTTAAATCTTTTGTCTTGCCCATTCACCCTCTGAATGGCACACATACACAATCCATGTCTCAGTTGTCTCAAGACTTTAAAATCCTTCTTTAACCCGTCTCCTCCCCGTCATCTACACTGATTTGGAGTGGATTTAACAAGTGACATCAATAAGGGATCATAGCTTTCACCTTGATTCACCTGGTCAGTCTAGGTAATGGAAAGAGCAGGTGTTGTTAATGTTTTGTATACTCAGTGTATGTGATAGAGGTATACCTTATACAGTATGTGATATAGATATGCGGGTGTAGTGTACAGGACACTAGAGTAGTTATTGTTTGACATGAGAAAGTGAACATATTATTTTCCACAGGACTTCCTCCAAAGAACTGTAATTCACCTCTAAGAAAATTACTCCTGTTAGTCCAATCTTTGTTTGCAGTGTATTTTCTCAATGAACTAATACAGTATGAATTCTATGCTCATTTTAACAGTAAAACAAAAAAACAGAACTATCTCTTAATTAAGATGTTATGAGTCTACACAAATTAATCTACATTTTGAATTTGAACATGGGGTATGTATAACACTGTTGATAAAAAATCACAGCAGATGGTCAGTCTTTGGTGTTACCATCAGAATGGGTATGTATTGAGACTGTCCTGCTATGAAGTCTCTGTAGATAGTTTTATACTGTGAAATGACTTGTTTTTATCAACAGATCCGGAAAAAAGGTGCTAATGTCTCTATAGGTGCGGAGTGTTGTTTACCTGTTACATTTGATTCACTTTTTTTTGATCATTTTTGATAGCTATGAAGAATACACATCGATATAGTACATGGGTAATCCCAATTACAGATGACAATTTCCATGCAGTTAAAAATAATTTACTACTTGCGTCATATTTTTTTTTTTTTTTGTGCTGTGATTTCTGAGGGGAACTCATAGGATCTTTTTGGAGAGTCAAGGTATTGTTGAATAGGGGATATTTTTTTGGGCTTCTTATGGGAATGGCCGGGTTATTGTGTTTTGTAGAAAACCTGAAACGCTTCCTCTAACTTGGTCTGTTTCTATTTCACCTCAGGATAGTGTCAGCTGTCCTGTGTTGTCCATTTTCAGTGCAATAATCAGTTTGATGTTTTGTGTTATGATATATTCTCTATCACCATCTTGAACAATAATAATAATAATAACAATAATAACTTGCATAACGCGTTTTCAATACAAAGTAACAAAGTGTTTTCACATCATAAAATAATACTATTCTTTCAAATATGATCATGTTTATTACTGAATTGTGTACAGCACTTGAGGCCTTCTCATTGAAGAACCCCCCAATGCGTTATGTTTTGCCCATTGGAGAGATTAGTTGCATTTGGATGTAAAATAAATAAATAATTGTTATTGAATAATGATGACATAGGGTACTACTATGTTCAAATCAATCTACAGTGTTTATCATCTTAACCAAAGAATCATGTGTTGTCTGCCTTCCAGCTTGATATTTTTTTAAGTGAGAGCACGCTAAAGTAGTCCATAACAACTAATCAGATCTTTTGAACAAATATTAAAATGAATCCTCTAACATATAACATTCTGTAACTTGTATAGGGGAGAGAAAAAAAACACGTATTTACATCTTCTATATTTACTACAGGTATAATCAATACAATTGCTACTCAATTTCCGTTTGAAGATGTATACGCTATGTACCCTGCGCAAAAAGTATATGCATTATAGTCCTTGAACGCAGAAACAATAGGCGCATAACTAATAGAAAAGCTAAGAGCTTTTCATTGTGCATTGCAATACGTTCAAAAGCCTTTTAGGTAGTGCTTTATGTAGCAATGTTTCATATTACATTCACTGTTTATTATCATACAGTATTCACAATATTATATAATGTTCTACTGTGTTGTTATGTGTATTGTAACATGCCATTGCCTTTACTGCGATGGGGTTAGGTATTGACATTGTAAAAACAATGTTTGGTAAGAAATATAAATATATTAGTTAAAAGTTCACAATGTTATTTTATGATATAACGGTTAAAATGGTACATTCTGCTTTGGTGTTTTAGTGAATATTCTTGTTATTCATACATAGGTTACACCCATTTCTACATAAGTGCAGGTTACATAAGAGTATACTTGATTTCTATACCAGAGTCCTCTATTTGAAATATTTGCTTCATCACTCTGCTTGAAATCTGTTTGTGAACACAAAGTTTTATCCATGTGGGTATTCATTTTATTGCATTCTGTAATGGATCAAACTTAATAATGCATTTATAACATTGAGTTAGTTCCACTTCAATTATCGGACATTTTGAACATTTATCTTGTAAACCTTAATCGTGTATCTCTATCTGAACCTTTATCTTGTATAAACAGAGGCGATCATTTACTTGTAATTACTTAGGCCTATCACTGCATCCAATCAGTCCGAAATATGAAACTGACATTTTTTTACAGGTGACAAAAAACATGAATGGTTGGGAAGATGTTTTACCCATTGGAAATTGATTATCATTGTTAATCATTTCTATGTCAAACTGTTTACATGGGGTTATCTTTTTCTGTCTGGATCTCAGTTGCACATTTTTTTTCTAGCAACTTATCACGACGACACACTTCCTTCTCAGAACTTTTAAGTAGTTATTTCAATTGAAATGTAAGGCCCATGCTATAAACACATTGTAATCACTATGATATGAATTTGTATTAATTGTTTTACTAACCCTGCATGATTGTTGAGTGTTGAAAGTTGTGTAATAAACTAATTATAAATATATTTCTTGACTGTCATTAGATGCTTCGTGCTTCCAAGTATTGCAATACAGCTTACATTGGGTGTATAAAGTAGATTATGCTTCACAATATGATATAAACATTGCAAAATAATTCTGATTTCAAACGCAGCCCAGTATTGACAAATGTGTTATTCCTCTCTGGTATTGACCAATTCCAAAGTATGGAAATAGAACACATTATTTTTTTACATTCATTTAGCAGACGCCCTTATGAGAGCATACATTATTTTTTCATACTGGCCCCCCGTGGGAATCGAACCCACAACCGTGGCGTTGGAAATGCCATGCTCTACCAACTGAGCTACATCCCTGCCGGCCATTCCCTCCCCTACCCTGGACAACGCTGGGCCAATTGTGCGCCGCCGGCTATGACAGAGCCTGGATTAGAACCAGGATCTCTAGTGGCACAGCTAGCACTGCGATGCAGTGCCTTAGACCACTGCGCCACTCGGGAGATGGCATAAGGGTCTCCCTAAAAACACACATCCCCATTCAAGTCAATGATGACATAAGCCACTTTGATTAAGCTACGACCAGAAGTGACTTTTCGTAGCAGGTTAGGAGAGCATTTTCCCTAACCTTAACTGAATTATTCTAACCTGCTACGTTAATTCTCCTAATGGGTGGACTGGTGGCCATTGTGAGAGTACCTATAGCAAAGCTGGTGGATAAATTAAGATGGTTCACTCCATTTACCATTAAAAATGGTCCGTTCCGGTCTACTTAACGGGGCGGGTCTCCCATAGACACCAATGCAATAGCAGCTGGGTCTGGTCTGCTTAGTTCATTGACTTTCATTGAACGAGAAAAAAAACAGCGAGTGGGTTGTCTCCCTTCCTCTTCTGTCTCTGCCCATAGGAGCAAAACACGAAGTAAAAGCAGGAAGTGTACCCATCAATCTGTGCTGTGATTTGTTGAAACAACTCAACTGACATCACAAAAAAATACATTCCATTGCATAAGCCACATCAGTTAGCATCATTTAAATGAACATTCTACATTACCATGGAAATGATTGCATCACAATACCAGGCAGACATTGTTAGTGTACCCATGAGTTTAACAGTCAAATTGCCAGGGTTAGACGTTCCAAACCCGTTCTATTCATTCTATTTCTATGGTCCAAAGATGGTATTGACCCATGGAGAATGATAAACAGTACATCCCTATATACTTCCCATTATGGTGTATGTAGCGCCATTGAGGCAATCTCCATTTTGAAGTAGTTCATTTTCTTCTTCACGATTGGCTGATCCCTCCTGATGACCCGGTTGGACGTGACTCTATCAGGAGGGATCAGCAAATGAAGTTGGAAGTCCCAACCAGTTGACTACATTTAATGGTGGAAGCCCTCAATGGCACCTCAGATAGAACAATGAGGGTTGGTTAAAATAAATCTTTGTTAATACCACAGCTAATACTGCATTTTGGCCTCTAGATGCCTTTTATCATTCTATGAGTCAGAACCATACAGTCATTTGGTCAGAACCTGTCTCTGTCATTAGCAATGTTCGAGAGCATCAAAACCGTGATGTAACGTGGGAAAATTGTGACTGATTGACTGATCTACAAGTCGTATTGAGTAGGTTTTATGATGCAGGGAGATTTGTAGATCAGTCAGTCTCGACTCGCCTTTCAAGTCGGCTGCAATGTCGAACGTGCCCAATCTCTATGTATTGACCCGGAAGTTACATTTTACAGTAGTGCATTGCTTGATTCGGACAGCGACTCACGACATTGGTTCCACTTATCATAAATGCCCGTAACTTATATATATATTGTTGTAGCTAATAGTAATTATGTCGAGAATATCAAGTAGACTCATATTGACATGTATTGTATGGTTTACGCTTTATGTTTCTGAAATAAAGAAAGCGTCGTCAGTAACAGCTCAAGGTAAGAGAAGGAGACGCCAGCAGTTAGCTAGCGTTAGCTGGTTGTTTTTTTATGTAGCTAGTTAGCGAGCAAGTTATCACTGTTAAGTTTAAACTATAAAGCCAGCAAATTTGCAAGCTAGCTATCTCACTACTTGCTCTTGTGCAATGGAGTCTCAAATGGTACCTGGTACCATAGCTCTAGCTATTTTTTTGTTGTTGCATATTTAGGTACACGTTTACCCCAGTATCTTGTGCAGGTCAAAAAAGTTCTACCATTTAGCGCTAACGTTAGTAGTTGGTTGTGTCAGAGAGGAAGATGCGAAACATACTCCAAAATCTCTGGTCGTATTTGACAAGCAAGCACATTCAGGATAGATCAGTGGTGTATGCTGGCTCTTATTCGTTCTACCTCGTCTACAGTGATGGTGTATTCATCTGCCAATAGCCTAATTATTGGAACCAGCTGAACACATCTAGTAAGTTGATTCCATAATGTGGTTTCTACAGTTCACTTCTGAAAGGATGTAATAATATTTAATCTGTTTTATTTACAGAGAATGATGAACTACCAGAATTCAAGTTCTCTGAGGATGTGGGCTCTGACATGGAAAATATTCCCAAATTTGTGAGAATGGAGGACCTTGAGTCTCAGCCAAAGAGGCAGTACAAGACTGCAGAGATCGCAGACGCAGTAATGGGAACCGAACTACCTGTCAACCCAGCAGGTATCGAGTCACTGATCCCCAAGAATGTGAAAGACTTTCAGACAGGGTTCTCGCCACCCTGCGATGATGAGGCAAAATGTCCCTCACCTTTGAACAAAGAAGAGTCCATGAATTCAGAACCCATGGAACCAGTCACATTGGAAATGGTCCACGTAGACGCCATGGCAAATGAAGAACAGAACTCCACAGAAACTACAAAGACTTACAAAGTCAACTGCGATAAAAGGAACATCACAGGGATGGACAACTTCACAGTACAGGTCCTAAATGCCTCACAGGTAATCAGATGTCTGGGTTTGTTTAACTGTATGCATCATGACATGAACTAGTGTGCCCGAAAAACTAGGTCCCACTGCCTTGATACTACCTAGACTCAGCCGTGGGGTGTCTAAAACTCAGCCGTGGGGTGTCTAAAACTCAGCCGTGGGGTGACTGAAAGACCAGCCGTGGGGTGTCTGAAAGACCAGCCGTGGGGTGTCTGAAAGACAGCCGTGGGGTGTCTGAAACTCAGCCGTGGGGTGACTGAAAGACCAGCCGTGGGGTGTCTGAAAGACCAGCCGTGGGGTGTCTGAAAGACAGCCGTGGGGTGTCTGAAAGACCAGCCGTGGGGTGTCTAAAAGACCAGCCGTGGGGTGTCTGAAAGACCAGCCGTGGGGTGTCTGAAACTCAGCCGTGGGGTGTCTGAAAGACCAGCCGTGGGGTGTCTAAAAGATCAGCCGTGGGGTGTCTGAAAGACCAGCCGTGGGGTGTCTGAAAGACCAGCCGTGGGGTGTCTGAAAGACCAGCCGTGGGGTGTCTAAAACTCAGCCGTGGGGTGTCTGAAAGACCAGCCGTGGGGTGTCTGAAAGACCAGCCGTGGGGTGTCTGAAAGACCAGCCGTGGGGTGTCTGAAAGACCAGCCGTGGGGTGTCTAAAAGACCAGCCGTGGGGTGTCTGAAAGACCAGCTGTGGGGTGTCTGAAACTCAGCCGTGGGGTGTCTGAAAGACCAGCCGTGGGGTGTCTAAAAGATCAGCCGTGGGGTGTCTGAAAGACCAGCCGTGGGGTGTCTGAAAGACCAGCCGTGGGGTGTCTAAAAGACCAGCCGTGGGGTGTCTGAAAGACCAGCCGTGGGGTGTCTGAAACTCAGCCGTGGGGTGTCTGAAAGACCAGCCGTGGGGTGTCTAAAAGATCAGCCGTGGGGTGTCTAAAACTCAGCCGTGGGGTGTCTGAAAGACCAGCCGTGGGGTGTCTAAAAGACCAGCCGTGGGGTGTCTGAAAGACAGCCGTGGGGTGTCTGAAAGACAGTCGTGGGGTGTCTGAAAGACAGTCGTGGGGTGTCTGAAAGACAGTCGTGGGGTGTCTAAAACTCAGCCGTGGGGTGTCTGAAAGACCAGCCGTGGGGTGTCTGAAAGACAGTCGTGGGGTGTCTGAAAGACCAGCCGTGGGGTGTCTGAAAGACCAGCCGTGGGGTGTCTGAAAGACCAGCCGTGGGGTGTCTGAAAGACAGCCGTGGGGTGTCTGAAAGACAGTCGTGGGGTGTCTGAAAGACCAGTCGTGGGGTGTCTGAAAGACCAGTCGTGGGGTGTCTGAAAGACCAGTCGTGGGGTGTCTGAAAGACCAGTCGTGGGGTGTCTGAAAGACAGTCGTGGGGTGTCTGAAAGACCAGCCGTGGGGTGTCTAAAAGACCAGCCGTGGGGTGTCTGAAACTCAGCCGTGGGGTGTCTGAAAGACCAGCCGTGGGGTGTCTAAAAGATCAGCCGTGGGGTGTCTAAAACTCAGCCGTGGGGTGTCTGAAAGACCAGCCGTGGGGTGTCTAAAAGACCAGCCGTGGGGTGTCTGAAAGACAGCCGTGGGGTGTCTGAAAGACAGTCGTGGGGTGTCTGAAAGACAGTCGTGGGGTGTCTAAAACTCAGCCGTGGGGTGTCTGAAAGACCAGCCGTGGGGTGTCTGAAAGACAGTCGTGGGGTGTCTGAAAGACCAGCCGTGGGGTGTCTGAAAGACCAGCCGTGGGGTGTCTGAAAGACCAGCCGTGGGGTGTCTGAAAGACCAGCCGTGGGGTGTCTGAAAGACAGCCGTGGGGTGTCTGAAAGACAGTCGTGGGGTGTCTGAAAGACCAGTCGTGGGGTGTCTGAAAGACCAGTCGTGGGGTGTCTGAAAGACCAGTCGTGGGGTGTCTGAAAGACCAGCCGTGGGGTGTCTGAAAGACCAGCCGTGGGGTGTCTGATAGACCAGTTGTGGGGTGTCTGAAAGACCAGTCGTGGGGTGTCTGAAAGACCAGTCGTGGGGTGACTGAAAGACCAGTCCTGGGGTGCAACAGTTTCTGTAGGTTTTTGATCCAGCTCAGCTTGATTTAACTAATCATGGTGTGGTCCAGACTGGAACAAAGGCCTGGCACACACTACAGCCATTCAGGATAGAGACTAGAGACACCCCTGCCATAGACCTCAAAGATAACTATGTCCAATGGGATTTTATTTCTCCATACAGGACTTGATGGAGTTCCTGAATGTAAACGGCACAGAGTGCTCTCTGGTGTTATTCTTCACTACCTGGTGCCAGTTCTCTGCCAATCTGGCACCTCACTTCAACGCACTGCCCCGGGTCTTCCCCAGCATGCACTTCCTGGCACTGGACGCCTCCCAGCATAGCAGGTAAACTACCAAAATACTTTACACCAGTGCAGGGCTCTCCAACCCTGTTTCCGGAGACCTAGTCCTGTAGGTTTTTCACTCCAACCTTAATCTAGCCCACCTGATTCTAATAATTAGCTGGCTGATAAACTGAAGCAAGTTAGTTACAACTGGGGTTGGAGCAAAAACCTACAGGAGGGTATATCTGCAGGAACAGGTTTGAAGAGCCCTGTCTTTAGTTTTCTGTCTGTGTTGAGTGTAACAATAACTTATGTTATTTTATTTTTTTCTTATTTTTTCTTCTGCAACGCGTTTCTCTCCAGTCTCTCCACAAGGTTCGGAACAGTAGCAGTTCCCAACATCCTCCTGTTTCAAGGTGTGAAACCGATGGCCAGATTCAACCAGACAGACAGAACCCTGGAGACTCTGGTGTCTTTCATAGCTAATCAGACGGGTACGTAAACAAAGGCGACGAGGCATCGGTCCCTGATCATTCAGAAGTGGATGTGTAGTAGCCACTGTCTAGTGGCACAGTGCATCGCTGTGCCACTAGAGATCCTGGTTCGAATCCAGGCTCTGTCGTAGCCGGCCGCGACCGGGAGACCCATGGGGCGGCGCACAATTGGCCCAGCGTTGTCCAGGATAGGGGAGGGAATGGCCGGCAGGGATGTAGCTCAGTTGGTTGAGCATGGCGTTTGCAACGCCAGGGTTGTGGGTTCAATTCCCACGGGGGGGGCCAGTAAAAAATTAATAAAAAATCTATATATATAAAAAAAAGAATAATGTATGCACTCACTAACTGTAAGTCGCTCTGGATAAGAACGTCTGCTAAATGACTAAAAATGTAAATGTAGTATTTCATAATGAGAAAGAGTTCAGGATGATGATGTAATCCTTAAAGCCCCCATGCAGTCTTTGTAATTTAATGTTTGTAATCATTGCTAATGAATCTATTGTTTTATTTAAAAAACGGAAATAACTCCCAAAATATATTTCGTATCATTTATTTTCATGACCCAACTTTTGGCCCTTGAAATGCTAAGTCTGATTGTGTGGGCGTTAGGAAACATATTTGAAGATATCTACAGCCCTGATAGGATGGTATAGAAAAGTGGCACAGGTCCTAATCCAGGCACTTGTCATCTCCCGTCTGGATTACTGCAACTCTCTGTTGGCTGGGCTCCCTGCCTGTGCCGTTCAAACCCCTACAACTAAAATAAAATAAAACAGTTAGTTGTTGTCCCACTGGCTATCCTAAGTTGAATGCACCAATTTGTAAGTCGCTCTGGATAAGAGCATCTGCTAAATTACTTAAATGTAAATGTATAGAGCACGCCCCCTTACCCAGATGAACAGTCATTGGTCTATTATAATCAATCACATTGTGACATCATGATGTGGGTCAAAAGTTCCATCCCACAAGAACAGGTTGAAATTCCAGGCATTTTTTTTCAAACAGCTCTTACACAAAAAGGAAATTATCATAATTTTAGAGTGCTATTTCGACCTCATAGTGTGGAAATATCATTTAAAAAACAGGAAAATCTAGTTTTTTTTACTGCACTTTAATGTATTTCCCCCTGCCTGACAGAAAGTACACTTGGGGACTCATCTGCTTGTTCTCATAAATGTACTTCCAATATTTGAAAGACGGGGTCGTTGCAATTCATTAAAACTGTTGTTCAATCTGTCTCTTGAGGTTTCGAAGTGAGCCCAGATCAGAATGTAACAGAGGAGGACCTCTCTGGACCTCTTCCCAATGTCCCAGTGAAGAGTATTGATTGGCTGCTGGTGTTCTCCATCTTGTTCATCGCCGGCTTTACCACCTACGCCATCCTACGGACTGACAGCATCCGCTGGCTCATCCCAGGCCAAGAGCATGAGCACCAGGACTAATACACAACCCGCAGACTGTATGCCCTGTGAATAAAAGTTGCTCTCAATGCGAGAGCTGTTGGGCACAAGTGTGGTAAATCTGGACCTGTATTCAGACAGTGTCTCAGATAAGGAGCGCTGATCTAGGATCCGTTTTTTTTTGTCCACAGCTCGTAACGAATCAGATTTGGGAGGACCCTAGATCCTGGATCAGGACTCGCACTCTGAGACGCTTTACAAATACGGACCCAGATTTTTGGAGAGCCCAAGACAGCGCCAGTTCAGCTCTGATGGTTGTCGGTGTTAACTGCTGCCTTCGCTGTAACATAGCTGCTGTGATATGGATATACATAATTGTTTGCTGAATGAATTTACCCCTTGGATGTTTGAACACACATGTTCAATGAGTCAGAGTGACCTGCTGTTTATTTCCAACTGTTTTGATGGTGTTGTGATTAAAAGTGTAAGATTAAACGTGTTTTTGATGTTTTAAATGCAGGGTTTAACCTAGCCCTTGATCATGACTCTCAGTCCCATTTACATTACACATAAGAGTCATTGGAGGAAGGCGGGTTCTGTTAAGAGCCCCAATGTTTGGTCTGAACATTAACACGATGTTGATGTTTCTAGAACGGTATCACAATCGAGAATCAATTCACGTTTAGATGGGAGTATTTAGCTGTTTTGACTGCCAGAGCCAGTCTAAGGTCCTTGGACATTAAGGCGTAATGGTAGGCTCCTTAAGAGTACGTCTTGGGCTAGATGTGCAAAGGAATCAAAACAAAGCAAGTGCATGGGGTAAAATTATTTATTTGCTCATTACATAGGCCTGCCTACATTAGGACTTGAAATATCCTGGAATTTGAAGAGGACTTGGACATTAAACATCCCATATAAGCAATTTCAGAGTTGATTTTTTATCAGGCAACTTCACAGGGAGCCGCCGTTTTAAATGGTCGCCACTAGTTACCACCGCCACAATGTCATAAACCCCGCCTATTCCTAAAATATTATCTTCTTAAAATGTGATTTTAAACCCTACCCTAACCACACTGCTAACCGTATGCCTAACCTTAAATTAAGAACAAAAAGCTACATTTTTGTTTCATAATTCTTGACGATATAGCCAATTTTGACTTTGTGACTGTGCTATCTAGAGCGAGGACAGATCTGTCGACCAAATGGTATGCGCGGGTTAATGTTTACTCTCAGGGTTAGCAGTGTATGGCCGTGTGCTTACCAGAGACTTGGCAACTTACTACTGCCCAGATATATATCTAAAATGGTAAGTGCTGCTGGCTGGGTCGATAACGTTAATACTAGTAGTCGGTTGATGTACTCGAATAGCATCGTCAGACTTTCAGACTTGTGATAACTGCAGATTTCCCAATACTATTTCAATGAGAACCGTGATAGCGTTTTATATGTGTCATTGTGCAACCGTTTGCAAAAAAATGTCAACAATATATCTTTATAGTGGAAGAGCTTGACTATCACTATGTTCCACAATGTAACACTTTCACCTTGCTCGCTGATGTACTTGGTTGCAAAATACTGGACGCCCATGAAGAAGGGGGGAGTGGCTAAAGACACGTCATACTTTATTTTCTCCAGCAGGTGGAGCAGTGACATTGCGGAGCGGTACATCGCTAAATTACATTTATGGGTCTTTCTCATACAACCTGTTGCACTGCTCAATAGTAATAGCTATATTCCCCATGATGTCTCTGTAGACCCCCACTGGCTGCCCCCAGCTCCTGATGGAGATGAATGCTACTGGCTGGTACAAACCACTCAAAGATTAGGGAATGTACAGGGAAAAAACGGTTACAACCATATCTTATACCTCTCAGCTGGTAGATGGCAGACATATTAAACCAACCGTTATCTGATCATTTTCACCTAATGAAAATCGGTCGGACCAGGGTACAGGAGTGTGCTACGTAACAGAATGCTCGTATAGAATGTATTGTGTTGAACAGATGTGTCCTTTTCGTCACATTTCCCACATGCAATGTTGTGAACATTTAACTTCACTGAAAAAAAAAAAAAACCCCGAGAGGTCACTTAAAGGGATGTCGTTTTACACATATTATTCTACATACAGCCATTGTGTTTCCTCTCTGTTGGCCCTGCAGTCTGGAGACCCCCACTGGCTGCCCCCAGCGGACAGAGGCCAGCTACTGTTGGAGCTGAAGGCTACTGGCTGGGTAGAGGTAGAGGAGCGGGACGCCATCTACAAAGAGCTCCACTTCAAAACCTTTAATCAGGTGTGTGTGTGTCTGACCTCTGACCCCCAACATCCACACCCTCATCCTCTTAACAGTAAAGTTAACACCATCAACCTAATTCTGACCCCCCAAGCCCAGTTTTAGGTCAGTATGTTTGAAACCCCACTGCCTGCCAGACGTAACAGCTTTAACGTTATTACAGCTATGCCAGCTTACATCTTCACTGCATTACAACTCCCCCCCCCCCCCATCCATTTGCAGCGAATGTCCCATTGCATGGAGCAGGATGTTCTGTTATTGTTTCCATGATCCACCGTTATTGTCACTATGGATATATGGTCCTGCGTTTCAGTAGGGAAGGGAAACTGGCAGCTACCCTTACAGCCAATGGAGAAGCACTATCTCACAGTGCTATTGCAGGTGACGCCTGCTGCTGTACCTGGAGTCTATTCCCCCCCCTGTCTGTGGAAGTTAATAAAAGTCATGGTTACACCTTCCATGGCATTCGTAGTAGGGGAGAGCTCTGTAGAGAGAGTTGGGGTGAGATATCCCTGTTAGTTTGGGACAGGGTGTTGTGTGATGCGTCTCCCTCCCACCATAGGTACTGACTTCCCAGGTGAGATATCCCTGTTAGTTTGGGACAGGGTGTTGTGTGATGCGTCTCCCTCTCACCATAGGTACTGACTTCCTAGGTGAGATATCCCTGTTAGTTTGGGACAGGGTGTTGTGTCTCCCTCCCACCATAGGTACTGACTTCCTAGGTGAGATATCCCTGTTAGTTTGGGACAGGGTGTTGTGTGATGCGTCTCCCTCCCACCATAGGTACTGACTTCCCAGCCATGTTATGCTGCTCTTGGGAGGGTGGTGGACTTTAGATTTGTTACATGAGGATCAGGAGAAAGACAGCTGGAATAGTTACTATCGGAAACAGACAAATTCATGTGTATTTTGTAGCTGATTGGTTGCAGGTGCGGTGAGGGAGGGGCAGGTTTTTGGACCCCCCTTTTTCATCAGTCCTTGTCTGGAGCGTGTAAGAACTCTGAGAATTGACCTGCCTTCAGGTGTGTGAGGTACTTTTGTGTAATAATACTTTCCTATTTCCAACCTCATACTAGATAAGTAGCCTATGTTCTTTCTTTTTTGCACCTTTTTGCTTGTGAGTCAGCATTTTCTCAATGAGTAAATAGTGTATTTTAAATGTATTTTGAACAGTGCAGATGCATGCAGCTCAGTCAGCGGAGTTACCTTTTAAAATCCATCTGCCCCCTTCAAGCAAGGACAAGACAAGAAAATGGAAATGTGAAGTTGTGTGTTTTCACTAGGCCCATGTTCTACCGTTTAGTAATTTGTCTCTTTTTGGTCTTCCAGAGTGCAGAATCTCAAGGCTACTTAGCGGACGTTGATCCAGTGGTTAGCTGTTTTAGGCCCCTAACAGACTCTGTTTTTACACTTCGCTGCGTTTGAAGTCACGGGCTGGGCTCTGACCTCCCCCGTCTCCCTCTCTGGCTCTAAACCCTCTCCTCTTACCTCCACACGTCACAACACATTAACATGAGGCAGACCAGAGGGGCATTTGGCAGCAATTGGGGTTTCGATCAGAATTGTTTCTTTCACAAACAATCAAATTGGTTAAAGAAATTCATCTGCTTCAGAAACCACCAACAATCCCACCATTCCTCCTCACAGTCCCGCTTTGGGACTTTTCCCAATGAGCTCATGTTGTTCCAATTTGACATCTTGTCCATTTTTTCCTCCCTTGCTCTCTCCCTCTTTCTCTTATGTATTTTCACAATTTGTATTGTTCGTTTGTCATGGCTGTTCTTTAAGGCCTTTTACCAGAGGGGTTAGAGATGAAGAGTGACACGCTGGCTGATTTCCATTCGCCACTTATCTCCAAGTGATGGGCTTGGTGAAATCAGATCCCCATGAGTTTATAATGAGTCACACATCCCTCTCCATAAGGGGATCCCTTCCACACTGGGCCTCTGGGGGGCGCTAGTATTTTACCCATCGATACATGTGTAAGCCAGAGAGGATGGACAGTGGAGCACAGTTGCCAATCAGGAATAAACAAGACAGTGGGGTTTTAGTTTTCATGTTTACTACTTTGATTACAGCAGCGAGTGGAAGTCTGGTCATAAATAATGCTGTAACCGAACCAGTAGTAATTTATATCCGCAGAGAGCAGCGGGGTACAGCACATTCTTATTTGAAATAGTCCGAGAAGTAAATGTGAGTTATTTTCCTTGTCGAACGAAGAGATATCTAATCAGTTTGAACGTTGAAATCCCTTTTCTGGAGCAGTACTTGTTGATTGGCATCCAAATGGTCTCATGTGGAAATATCTCTGTTATATGTCTATGCTCAGATAAATGTTTGTACAGTTGTGTTGTTTTTATAGCTGTAGTCATTAATATTTAGAAATCTGAAGTCCTTGATTTGATGTTTTTTTGTGTTTTTCATATTATTATTTTTTTACAGTCATCTGTTTTTCATTGAGGAGTGGGAAGCAGATGGATACATATGACAGTATTTTAACGTCTGAATTGAAGAGGCAACATACGCAGTAGCTATATCATTTTGTACCGTGACCTGTGACCTGTGACCTGGAGTTAAATCAATGACAGATTCCATCAACCTCTTAACATTCTTTCATCCACCAAGGAGAAAAAAAGCTTTTATCTCCGAGCCTTGATAAAAGTCCAAGCCTGCGTCCCAAATGTCACCCTATTCCCAATTTAATGCACTGCTTTTTACCAGGGCTCTGGACAGAAATAGTGCACTATATAGGGAATCGGGTGCTGTATGGGATACAGCCCCAAAATCACTCTATAAAAGCTGTAACCACGCATTAAAGCCAAATGGATGTTATTTTCAAACTTACAAGGTGGCTGGTGATGATTCTCTCTTCAGAAGGAGCTGCTGCCAAACCCCTAAAGAATGAGAAATCTTCTCTCTTTGTTTTCAGCCAAGGAGACAAAGTTCGAAGTTCACCAACAGTTTTGTGTGTTTGTCAACAAGGCGGTGCCATTGGTAAAGGGTTAAATCACTGGCATGTCTAGACGCTTGTATGTAATATCATGGAGGCCTGGCCACCTGGTTGTCCCATAGGGTTGTCTCCATAGAGATAAAACTATCTATCTGTTGGCCTGGCTAGTCTAGCGGGAATGCCACCGCCTCCGACTGTGCCACACGTGTCTACGGTGTTGGCGTAGGTTCAAATCTGGCCTACTGCCCATTGACACAACCTCGCTGTCTTTCCCCACTGTCATCCGCTATCTCTGTCTGTTCAATAAAATCAGAAAAAGAGATTGTTTGTCTCTATGGTTGTCCCCTCACAGCTCATGTCTGTGACCCAGGAAGACGTTTCAATTTCAGCTCCAGAGGATATTATCTGTCTGACTATCTGCACAGCTCCCTCAATATCCCCCAGCTCCACTCTGTTCGAGGCTGATAACTCCCTCAATATCCCCCAGGTCCACTCTGTTCGATGCTGATAACTCCCTCAATATCCCCCCAGGTCCACTCTGTTCGAGGCTGATAACTCCCTCAATATCCCCCAGGTCCACTCTGTTCGAGGCTGATAACTCCCTCAATATCCCCCAGGTCCACTCTGTTCGAGGCTGATACACTCCCTCAATATCCCCCAGGTCCACTCTGTTCGAGGCTGATAACTCCCTCAATATCCCCCCAGGTCCACTCTGTTCGAGGCTGATAACTCCCTCAATATCCCCCAGCTCCACTCTGTTCGAGGCTGATAACTCCCTCAATATCCCCCAGCTCCACTCTGTTCGAGGCTGATAACTCCCTCAATATCCCCCCAGGTCCACTCTGTTCGAGGCTGATAACTACCTCAATATCCCCCAGGTCCACTCTGTTCGAGGCTGATAACTCCCTCAATATCCCCCCAGGTCCACTCTGTTCGAGGCTGATAACTCCCTCAATATCCCCCAGCTCCACTCTGTTCGAGGCTGATAACTCCCTCAATATCCCCCAGCTCCACTCTGTTCGAGGCTGATAACTCCCTCAATATCCCCCAGCTCCACTCTGTTTCGAGGCTGATAACTCCCTCATATCCCCCAGCTCCACTCTGTTCGAGGCTGATAACTCCCTCAATATCCCCCCCAGGTTCTACTCTGTTCGAGCTGATAACTCCCTCAATATCCCCCCAGGTCCACTCTGTTCGAGGCTGATAACTCCCTCAATATCCCCCAGGTCCACTCTGTTCGAGGCTGATAACTCCCTCAATATCCCCCAGCTCCACTCTGTTCGAGGCTGATAGCTCCCTCAATATCCCCCAGGTCCACTCTGTTCGAGGCTGATAACTCCCTAAATATCCCCCAGGTCCACTCTGTTCGAGGCTGATAACTCCCTAAATATCCCCCCAGGTCCACTCTGTTCGAGGCTGATCCCCTGTTTTATATTCTGAGAGGGACTGCCTGCCTCCCTCTCCGCCAAATCTCTCTCAAGCCTCTACCTCTCGTTAAGGGCCATGCTCTGTTTGTATTGAGTAAGTTGTCGTACAGCTAAAACTGAGCCCCTGGAGAAACCAAACTCCTCTCGCCATCTCTCGCAGTGAGTGAGCAGCAGTTAATCTGCTCAGCGGTGTACAGTTCCCCCCCCCTCTGTTGTTTCGAAAATGAAATGACACTTTCCCTGGGAACTGCAGACATTCTTCCATTGATCTGATCTGTGCTGCTTGTGTTGTGAAATAGCTGGAGGGGACCTGCGAGGTGTGGCGCCCAAGCGGAGGTGGTTAGATAATCGGCCTATCAGTCTTGGTAAGCCAAGATGGCCATGACGTTTGCTGTCTATTGAGGAGCCAATGACGTGTTAGTTAAGAGCGTCTGGTAACCCCGTAGTGAAAGAGAATTACACGACACCTTACATAAATAGGACTTGACGTTTTATGAAAATCTGTTCCATATGATGTTATTTGCTTGACCATTTTTTTCACAGGGTCATGGATATGTTGCACCTTTGTCAGAGTGATAGATTTAAGTTTCTTCCCATAATAGAATGAAGTTTATTTTCATATATTAAGTTCATGTTTGACTTACCCGTTTGCTCATGTGACTGTCCTTGAATGTCTTGTCATCATCACCCCATTCAGTTTGTGCCTTTCTCTTTCTCTCTCTCTCTCTGCATCTGCTCTCCTCTGTTTCTCTCTCTCTCTTATCTCTCTCCTCTCTCCTCTCTCTCTCTCTCCTCCTCTCTCCTCTCTCTCTCTCCTCTCTCTCTCTCCTGTCTCTCGACCCTCTCTCTCTCTCTCTCTCTCTCTTATCTCTGCTCTCTCCTCTCTCTCTCTCTCTAGCTCTCATCTCCTCTCTCTCGCTCTATGTCTGTCTCTCTCTCTCTCTCTCTCTTCTCTGTCTCTCTCTCTCTTGCGTCTCTCTCTCTCTCTGGTGCTCTCTCTCTCTCTGTCTCTCCCTCTCTCTCTGTCTCGGTCTCTGTCCTCTCTCTCACTCCTCTCTCGGTGTGTGGATTATGAACGTTTTGAAGCTAGCGTTAGTGTTGATGGGTCTCGGATGGTAATGTAATCACTAGAGGGTGGAGGAGCGGGTGCAGAGAGAGAGAGAGAGGGGGGGGGGGGGGGGGGGGGGGGGGGGGGGGGGGGGGTGTGAGTGGCACAATCTGCATGCACTTACTCCTGGCAGAGAGTCCAGGCGTCCCTAAGCCTTGGACCGCGAAGCGGTGGAAAACGATCTGTAAATGTCAGGCACATGTGTTTGAAACTAGGGCTGTGTTTCAGCCCCGGCCGCAACGAGGGAAAAGCTATCCGACGTCAAATGGTCTCATCCAGTGTTTTTATGACAATCACGGCGGTAATAGCCCAAAAATGTCCGTCAAAAAAGCGGTGTGTGAGGAACGTACTGGCCCGCCTGTTGGGTGTTTCTGATTATTTGAGATGGGGATCTGTGCTGTGTCACGTCAAATTAGCAGACCCTGACAGCTCGTACGTGGGCTGTAGTAGTGTGGCCAACGGAGTGTGCCCCAATGGTAGGCTTCATGATAGGTAGGCTTCATGATGGGTAAACACAAGGTCCAGAGCGGGATAGTCCTTGACCTCTGTTGACTTTTGGTGTCAGTCGGAGCTGAGGGTTGTGCCTTCTCTTGTCTGGGGGGGTGCAGAGTGTCGGGACGACCTCTGGGTGACCTTGGTTAAACCACACTGGGCTGTGTCTCAAACAGCACCATGTTCCCTACGTAGTACAAGAACCCTATCGCTCTGGTCAAAAGTAGTGCACTATATAAGGAAAAGTAGTCCCTTTGGGACACACCCTTTTTTACTGCCTTAAGGGACCTCCCTCCCTGCCACAGAACTAACAACATACCTGTACACATACAGGCCACATTCTGTAGACTAAAAGAAAGTCACGGATTTATACTGAACAAAAAATATAAACGCAACATGCAACAATTTCAAAGATTTTACTGAGTTACAGTTCATATACTGGGGGACCAGGCCCAGCCAATCAGAATGAGTTTTTCCCCACAAAAGGTCTTTATTTCAGACAGAAATACTCCTCGGCTTCTTGATATGAAACACCTGTCAGGTGGATGGATTATCTTGGCAAAGGACAAATGCTCACTGACAGGGATGTAAACAAATGTGTGCACAACATTTGAGATAAATAAGCTTTCTGTGCTTTTTATTTCAGCTCATGAAACATGGGACCAACACTTTACGTGTTGCGTTTATATTTTTGTTCAGTGTAAGTAGCCCACTGTGTGAATGCCATTAAAAGGAACTCTAGACAAATAGTTAATATGATCACTGTGACTGTACCTACTGCATACATGTCAGTCACTAGTCTCCAAAAACCCAACCCCTAGGCAACACAGCGACTAGGATCTGGTTTCAACGATGGACTCTTTTGACATCGAGGAAGTACAGTATGTCACTGTCTACGTCGATAACACATTGCCAGAACGTCGTGATTCAAAAACCCAAGTTTGCGGGCAAAACCTTTTGCAGTGGTTTAAGTTAAGGTAGTTGATGCAAACTAGCTGCCTGTGAAATGCACTCTATAAAAAAGAAACTCCTTGATCGCCATCTTGCTAGCTACTATTTAGTATTTTATTCAAGCGGATAGTGACGTAGTGACGTAGACAGTGACGTAGTTCCTCTATGCCTGAAGAGTCCATCGTTGAAACCAGACCCTAGTCACTGTTGCCTAGCGACTGTTGCCTAGGGTTGCGTTTTGGAGACTAGTCAGTCAGATTAGTTCTGGTAGGGAAATGTTTAAACAACACCTGACCTGGCAGCGAGCATATTTAATCATCTCCATTATTACCAATGAGAGTTGACAAAAAGCAGACTGACTGCAAACCTAAATTGGTGCCAAGGGGTCAAGTTGCAGGAATATGCCAATTACTTAAATTGATCAGGAGATGGTTTCCTTGATAACCAATTTGATCAAGTTCGGCCGATCGTGTTACATCATGCTGGGGGAGGAAAAAGGAGGTCTCCAAATTGGTTACAACACACTAAAGACTAAACGTGACTTCCTCTCTCTCTCTCTCTCTCTCTCTCTCTTCTGTTTAGTCGGATGTCTCCCAAATGGCACCCTATTCCCTACATAGTGCACTACTTTGGACCAGAGCCCCGTATAGGAAATAGGGTGCCATTTGGAACGCGGCCGTCATGTCAGAAGGTGGATATAGCTACAGGTTTAGCTGCTGAGATGGCCTGTAAACAATGGCGTTTCAGTTTATGTAATTAACCGAGGAGGAAGTATTTAGAGGCTTAATTGAGATTGCAGTGGGGAAATTGCTCTGAAATGGCTGTACCTGATTTATTCACAGTGGGAACACGGTGCGGAGCGAGCGATTTCACCCTTCTTTGTAGATTAGAATAACTATAATCACTCCCTTCATGCCTGGACTCTGATTGGAGTGCACACATGCCACCAGAAATATGGAGAAAGATGGAGCGAGATTGTGTGTGTGTGTGTGTGTGTGTGTGTGTGTGTGTGTGTGTGTGTGTGTCAGGTAGCAGTGTTGGTGGTGTGGGTTCTTCCTGCATGTCAGAAAAGCTCGCGGCCAGCAGCTTACTGACTCTTGTTTTCTCTTGGTTCCCTCACCTAGGCGTTTGGCTTCATGTCCCGAGTGGCTTTGCAAGCGGAGAAGATGAACCACCATCCGGAGTGGTTCAACGTTTATAACAAGGTAGTGACACTCTGCTGTTGCCTCTTCGGAGTTCAACTGCTGAATAAGTCTTTTATATGAGCTATGGTTTGATATCCTTCACAAACTGGCTTTTGCTAAGAGTTGAATTTGTCATGTCAAACCATTGCTAGGCTACAGGGAGGGATTTCTTATGTTTCAGGGGCCATCGCCACACACACACAAGTCAAACTGATGAGCGGTGGCTTTCAACAGTAATTCAGACATTTTTCTTGAGAAAATCTCTGCAAATAAATGTATTTTTCCCCCTCTCTTAGAAATAAGTAGCAGTTGATATGGCAAACAGTGCCCCTGAAAATCTCTCAGCATTAAGCTTTAGCCTCTGAGTTACTGTGTGGAGGACCAACTGCGCTGAGAAGAATTCAACATTTAATCCTCTCTTTATTAAAGTGGCTACATGTTTTTGGGCCTTCACAGTACTTTCCACTGTGCTCTGAAAAAGAAAAGGAAAAAAAACACATATGACTTGGATGTGTATGTTATGATATGGATGTGTAGGTTATGGTATGGATGTGTATGTTATGATATGGATGTGTAGGTTATGATATGGATGCGTAGGTTATGATATGGTTGTGTAGGTTATGATATGGTTGTGTAGGTTATGAATGTGTAGGTTATGGTATGGATGTGTATGTTATGGTATGGATGTGTAGGTTATGATATGGATGTGTAGGTTATGATATGGATGTGTAGATTATGATATGGATGTGTAGGTTATGATATGGATGTGTAGGTTATGGTATGGATGTGTAGGTTATGATATGGATGTGCAGGTTATGGTATGGATGTGTAGGTTATGATATGGATGTGTAGGTTATGGTATGGATGTGTAGGTTATGGTATGGATGTGTAGGTTATGGTATGGATGTGTAGGTTATGGTATGGATGTGTAGGTTATGATATGGATGTGTAGGTTATGGTATGGATGTGTAGGTTATGATATGGATGTGTAGGCTGATGTGGATGTGTAGGTTATGATATGGATGTGTAGGCTGATGTGGATGTGTAGGTTATGGTATGGATGTGTAGGTTATGATATGGATGTGTAGGTTATGGTATGGATGTGTAGGTGTATGGATGGAGGGTATGGATGTGTAGGTTATGGTATGGATGTGTAGGTTATGATATGGATGTGTTTATGTGTGTATGGTATATGTTGGTATGGTGTTATGGTATGTGATGTGTAGGTTATGTATGGTGTGTAGGTTATGATATGGATGTGTAGGTTATGATATGGATGTGTAGGTTATGGTATGGATGTGTAGGTTATGGTATGGATGTGTAGGTTATGTATGGATGTGTCGGTTATGATATGGTGTGTAGGTTATGGTATGGAGTGTGGTTAGGTTTATGGTATGGATGTGTAGGTTTTATGTGTATGGTATGTGGTAGGTTATGTATGGATGTGTAGGTTTGTATGGATGTGTAGGTTATGTGGTGATATGGATGTGTATGTGTGATATGGATGGTGTAGGTTATGGTATGGATGTGTAGGTTATGATATGGATGTGTAGGTTATGGTATGGTGTGAGGTTATGATATGGTTTTGTAGGTGTGTGGTTAGGATGTGTATGGTTTGGGTATGTGGATGTGTAGGTTATGGTATGGGTGTGTGGGTTATGATATGGATGTGTAGGTTTGTGTTGGGATGTGTAGGTTATGTATGGTGTGTAGGTGTTGTTGGTTGTATGGTTATGGTATGGATGTGTAGGTTATGATATGGATGTGTAGGTGATGTTGGATGTGTAGGTTATGATATGGATGTGTAGTGATTGATGTGGATGTGTAGGTTTGATATGGATGTGTGCGATGGTTATGATATGGATGTGTAGGTTATGGTATGGATGTGTAGGCTGATATGGATGTGTAGGTTATGTATGGATGTGTAGGTTATGGTATGGATGTGTAGGTGATGGGATGTGTAGGTTAGGGATATGGATGTGTAGGTTATGTATGGATGTGTAGGTTATGGTATGGATGTGTAGGTTGAGTGATAGGTGTGGTGTGTAGGTTATGATATGGATGTGTAGGTTATGGTATGGATGTGTAGGTTATGGTATGGATGTGTAGGTTATGGTATGGATGTGTAGGTTATGGTATGGATGTGTAGGTTATGGTATGGATGTGTAGGTTATGATATGGATGTGTAGGCTGATGTGGATGTGTAGGTTATGATATGGATGTGTAGGCTGATGTGGATGTGTAGGTTATGATATGGATGTGTAGGTTATGATATGGATGTGTAGGTTATGGTATGGATGTGTAGGCTGATATGGATGTGTAGGTTATGGTATGGATGTGTAGGTTATGGTATGGATGTGTAGGCTGATGTGGATGTGTAGGTTATGATATGGATGTGTAGGCAGATGTGGATGTGTAGGTTATGGTATGGATGTGTAGGCTGATGTGGATGTGTAGGTTATGATATGGATGTGTAGGTTATGATATGGATGTGTAGGTTATGATATGGATGTGTAGGTTATGGTATGGATGTGTAGGTTATGATATGGATGTGTAGGTTATGATATGGATGTGTAGGTTATGATATGGATGTGTAGGTATGATTGGATGTGTAGGTTATGGTATGGGTGTAGGTTATGGTATGGATGTTGTAGGTAATGATATGGATGTGTAGGTTATGGTATGGATGTGTAGGTTATGATATGGATGTGTAGGTTTATGGTATGGATGTGTAGGTTATGGTATGGATGTGTAGGGTTATGGTATGGAGTGTTGTAGGTTTATGGTATGGATGTGTAGGTTATGGTATGGATGTGTAGGTTATGATATGGATGTGTAGGTTATGGTATGGATGTGTAGGTTATGGTATGGATGTGTAGGTTATGATATGGATGTGTAGGTTATGATATGGATGTGTAGGTTATGATATGGATGTGTAGGTTATGGTATGGATGTGTAGGTTATGGTATGGATGTGTAGGTTATGGTATGGATGTGCAGGTTATGGTATGGATGTGTAGGTTATGATATGGATGTGTAGGCTGATATGGATGCGTAGGCTGATATGGATGTGTAGGTTATGGTATGGATGTGTAGGTTATGGTATGGATGTGTAGGTTATGGTATGGATGTGTAGGTTATGGTATGGATGTGTAGGTTATGGGATGGATGTTTAGGTTATGATATGGATGTGTAGGTTATGGTATGGATGTGTAGGTTATGGTATGGATGTGTAGGTTATGGGATGGATGTTTAGGTTATGATATGGATGTGTAGGTTATGGTATGGATGTGTAGGTTATGGTATGGATGTGTAGGTTATGATATGGATGTGTTGTAACTATGATCTTGTTTAGAGGAACATTTAGTTGTTTCTTCATACTTTGTTTTCCACTCTGTCTTGTTTTCAGGTCCAGATAACACTAACTACGCATGACTGTGGAGGATTGTCCAAACGGGATATCAAGATGGCCAAGTTTATTGACAAAGTTGCCCTGTCCATGTAGATTTGCCTCTTGTATATGTCACAGAATCTTCCAAATAAAATGTATTGATTATAATGTGTAGGCCTAATCATTTTTGTGGATGCACATTCATGATGTGGTTCTATTTTACAGTTGAATAAATCATTAAACAGAGCACTGCCTAGGCCAGGGTTTCTCAAAGTGGGGTCCGCGGACCCCTGTGGGTCCCTGGAGGTAGTGCAGGGGGTCCGCGGCCAGATCTCAAAATATTTGTATATCTTTACATTTTTCTTTTTTTTGATGAATATTACTAACAGATTAAACGACTTTTGGCCAAACAATCCATGTAATAAATGTAAAGTGTGCAATACAATACAATGTAATATTATTAATCTACAATTTATGGACTTAACCCTGGGCAACGTGGCCTGGGAGGCCGACAGGGATATTGGCATCCACAGTACTCCACCAATTATACATTTTTTGACTTACTTATTTTTTGAATACTTTCTGAAGGCAATGTATATGAAAATATCTTATTTGTGACCAATGGGAAAATACAGTGGCTCTAACTTATTATATAATATATATATATAATCATAGCAGATAATTTTTTTCAGTAGATTGAAGTTGAGTTGGTTATGGATGTACTGGATCAAGGTGATCTTACAGAGGATTTTACCATTATCCATTAGCCTTTTACGTATGTTTAAATCAGTGATTTTGACTGTAAAATGTAATTGTGTTATTTCAGGGGGAATTAGCCATGCATAGACTCATAAACTGAATTAATGTAATAACTTAACAAATATTTAATGTCAATAGGTTTGTTTAGTGTCTCTTGCACAATGGTAAACACAATGGTAAACACAATGGTAAACACAATGGTAAACACAATATGGTAAACACAATGGTAAACACAATGGTAAACACAATGGTAAACACAATGGTAAACACAATGGTAAACACAATGGTAAACACAATGGTACAATGGTAAACACAATGGTAAACACAATGGTAAACACAATGGTAAACACAATGGTAAACACAATGGTAAACACGATGGTAAACACGATGGTAAACACGATGGTAAACCTGGTTTATTGTATTATTATTTATGTTAGTTTTGCTGAATAGTCACAAGGGTAGACCTGGTATTATCAGAGTATTGGGACGGGGCCACAGGTGTAAACCTGGTTCCTATGGATATTGGGACAGGGCCACAGGTGTAAACCTGGTTCCTATGGATATTGGGACAGGGCCACAGGTGTAAACCTGGTTCCTATGGATATTGGGACAGGGCCACAGGTGTAAACCTGGTTCCTATGGATATTGGGACAGGGCCACAGGTGTAAACCTGGTTCCTATGGATATTGGGACAGGGCCACAGGTGTAAACCTGGTTCCTATGGATATTGGGACAGGGCCACAGGTGTAAACCTGGTTCCTATGGATATTTGTTCTGTAGACCTGGTATTATCAGAGTATTGGGACAGGGCCACAGGTGTAAACCTGGTTCCTATGGATATTTGTTCTGTAGACCTGGTATTATCAGAGTATTGGGACAGGGCCACAGGTGTAAACCTGGTTCCTATGGATATTGGGACCGGGCCACAGGTGTAAACCTGGTTCCTATGGATATTTGTTCTGTAGACCTGGTATTATCAGAGTATTGGGACAGGGCCACAGGTGTAAACCTGGTTCCTATGGATATTTGTTCTGTAGACCTGGTATTATCAGAGTATTGGGACAGGGCCACAGGTGTAAACCTGGTTCCTATGGATATTTGTTCTGTAGATCTGGTTTATATTAGTATTGGGACTCGGTCAAAGGTAGACCTGGTTTGTATGAGTACTGGAGCTGAGGTGCAGGGGTAAACCTGGTTTACAGTTTATGAGGATTCAGGCTTAGTTGACTACTTGGGTTCGTGCGCAGGTGTAGACTTTGTAGGTATACATTTGATCTGAAGTACAGTTGGAGACCTGGTTTGTAAGAATATTTGGGCTGAAACGCAGAAGTACACCTATTTTCATGACAATTGGGGCTGACGTAAATGGGGTGTAGGGATACACAAGGCTCATACAGGTAATGGGTCTGGATGGACATCTATTGCCCATTCAAATCCTTTCTGACGACAAGTTTCTGGTAGGAGAAAAAGTGAATGGGGCTGGGGCATGTGTTATACCACTGTACTATGAGTTTATCTATGAAATGATTAGCGTACAGGTCAGAGGTCAATGGACAAAGATATGCAAATAACAGGGCTGTGGGGTGCAGTGGATATAGGTTACTGTTGGTAACTGACAGGACGACTGCACCGTATTGAGGGGGGGATGGATAGGGCCATGTATCGCGAGATCATGTAACCTCCTTCCCTCAGTAAGAGCATTGAAGATGCAGCATGACAACGACCTGAAACACACAGCCAGGGCAACTAAGGAGTGGCTCCGTAAGAAGCATCTCAAGGTCCTGGAGTGGCCTAGCCAGTCTCCAGACCTGAACCCAATTGAATGTAGGCTACCTGTTCCGCGTGTAAAATGGCCTCGGCTGAGAGGGTAGTGGTGTAGGCCTAGTGGAGGATACACGCAAGTAAACACAGTTTTCCCACCTTAAAAAACAACAACAATACATTGAAAGTATGGGGGAGCGTTACTTATTTTTACCGTGACCAACAATCAGAGGTTGTACACCTATTTTTGTTTTGTTTTTTACCACTAAATCACTGGCTACTGGTGGGCCTATTTGATGTTCAAGGTAATACACATATTGTAACCTAGTCTAGTATGTTAGGATGACCATCCCGTTTTTCCTAGGACAGTTTCAGCCACATTTCAGGTATCCTGACTTTTCAGGCTACAAAAAAAAAAAAAAAAGGTAAATTTGTCAGCAAGACGCATCAATTTGTAGGCCTAATAAATGCCAATGGCTGAATGTCATTAGGCCTAATAAATGCCAATGGCTGAATGTCATTAGGCCTAATAAATGGCAATGGCTGAATGTCATTAGGCCTAATAAATGGCAATGGCTGAATGTCATTAGGCCTAATAAATGGCAATGGCTGAATGTCATTAGGCCTAATCAATGGCCTGAATGTCATTAGGCCTAATAAATGGCAATGGCCTGAATGTCATTAGGCCTAATCAATGGCCTGAATGTCATTAGGCCTAATAAATGGCCTGAATGTCATTAGGCATAACGTTTTGGTGTTTTGTAACAGATGTCTATTTCCATTCATCAAGTGGCTCGATACGTGCAGTTTGGATGCTGGAATTATTTTAGAGTGGACGAACATGCAAAGGTAGCCTACTTTTTTAACATTTACATTTACATTTACGTCATTTAGCAGACGCTCTTATCCAGAGCGACTTACAAATTGGTGCATTCACCTTATAGCCAGTGGGACAACAACTTTACAATTATTATTATTATTATTATTATTATTATTATTTATTTATTTTATTTTATTGGGGGGGGGGGGGGTTTGTAAGGGGGGGGGGGGGGGGGGGGGGGGGGGTAGAAGGATTACTTTATCCTATTCCAGGTATTCCTTAAAGAGGTGGTTGTTTCAGATGTCTCCGGAAGGTGGTTTTAAGTGATTTGTTTGACAATCAGATGAAAATATCATGACTGGTTGTGTTCCTGCCACATTAAAAGGAAATTCATTTTTACAGTTTAAATTATGCCTTTATTATTAGGCCTATATAAAAAAATGAATGTGCAGCCCCCAAATGGCATGGTGTAATTCTGTAATTCGCACTCTATGCAAACATGAATAGATTACCTTGGAAACAAAGGTTGGACATTTTGGAAGCAGTCTCCCGTTTCTTAATATCTCTCAGTGGTGTCACCTTGTTTAAGTCCAAAAGCGGAAGTTGTGTCACAGGCTCACTTTCCATTTCCCCTAAAAACCGGAACGTCTGGTTGTTGGGGACTCCTTCGAGGCTAATAAGCTAGAGACATTACTGCGATTGGTTGGCCAAAATGATGGGGCGGGGCATAGCGAAGGGTCAATTGGGATGTGTAAACAAGAAAGGGTTCTTTTTTTAAACGTTCCATTGGATTCCATTTCATTGTGACGTCATTGGTGTTGAGCGATACATGGTTCGATTCCTTTTTCCAAGGAGTTCGACGAGAGTCAACGCTTTTACCTCAGGAGTTTGCCACTGAAGATGGAGCAAAATGCAGAGGTCAAAGAAAGTGGAAGCGGATATTTTAGATTAATCATTCAACAGGGAGCAAGTCAGATAGCGCTCCGACGGTTCTCTGACTGGGACGCGGATGGGAGAGCAGCAGCAGCAGCGGCGGCGGGTTCGAATGTGTAGGCTAAAGACCATCATTTTTCTGTTCAATTTAAATGTTGTACATTTTAGATGTCATAACTCCCTCTGTCTTATCTGACACACACTTGTCTGACTCAGGCCTTTTTACCCTTCTGTGCAGTTGGCCCACTTGTTTCTGATGTTTCTGATTCATTCATTTGAAATAAGGAATTGTTATTATCTAGGCTACTGTTCGTTTTTGTTTATTCAGGAGAAAAGATATTGAGTTCTACGATTACATTGCCAACATCACTGAAAAAACCCTGTTCAATGGTATGATTATGGTCACGATTATCCTCAACGCTCTATTCATGGCTTTGGAGACTGACTATGATTTGAAATACAAACTTTTTGGATTCTTTGAGGTGGGTAATTTGCTGATTGCAATTTGCAAAACTGAGAAACACTGACATGGAAGCATACACAATTACGTTGAAAATGTAACAGTTCCATAAACCAAAGCTTTGTAGCAGGTGTTGTATCCAAATATGTCCTCTACTAAAATCCTGACCTCCCTTCACCCTATTGTCATCAAACAGATTGCAGACGAATTCTTCATGGCCATTTACACCATGGAGTTCTTGATGAAGGTGTACGTTAACCCAGGGGTTTACTGGAAAAACGGCTACAATGTGTTCGATGCTATTATTTTGGTCATTTCATTCGTGCCTATGTTCGCTGACGGAGGGGACTCCAGTGCAATGGGGACCATGCGCATCGTCCGCGCATTTCGCTCTTTGCGCGTTCTGAAGACCGTGTCGTTCATTCGGGGCCTGCAGGTGAGAATGACGCCATTGGCCGTACAATACTAGGCCATAGAAATGTATCTGTTACGTTGGTCTTTTGATACCTTTTTAAAGTTGATGGTAGATAATAAAGCAAACGTTAATCAGTTATCTCTTGGGGTCACTCGGGTGTCAGATTTGTTGAGATTTGAGTGTTCTCTCTCTCTCTTTTGTTGTTGTGTTTCGTTTGAATGACAGGCCTTGGTTGTAGCTCTGTTCAAGACCATGAAGAGTGTGGTCTATGTCCTGGGTCTGATGTTCCTCCTGATGTTCATCTTTGCCATAATTGGATACTACTACTTTGGAGACCCCAACACTGGAGACCCCGAGAACTGGGGAGACCTGGGCTGTGCCCTGTTTACACTTTTCAGTTTAGTGACAGTGAGTATGAATTATAGCCTACCTGATCCTGGTGGAAATCTTGCTTAGGGTCCCCAAAAGGGGGCATGTTTTCATGAGCTTGGGTCCCAGGAAAACACTGAATTTCTCATTTGGGTCCAAGGCTGAAAAAGAACCGCTGCACTAGACAGTCAGCTCAGCCTGGCAGAGGCATAACCATGTCCTGTCTGTCCACCAGTAGGCCTAAATGATAACCATGTCCTGTCTGTCCACCAGTAGGCCTAAATGATAACCATGTCCTGTCTGTCCACCAGTAGGCCTAAATGATAACCATGTCCTGTCTGTCCACCAGTAGGCCTAAATGATAACCATGTCCTGTCTGTCCACCAGTAGGCCTAAATGATAACCATGTCCTGTCTGGCCACCAGTAGGCCTAAATGATAACCATGTCCTGTCTGTCCACCAGTAGGCCTAAATGATAACCATGTCCTGTCTGTCCACCAGTAGGCCTAAATGATAACCATGTCCTGTCTGTCCACCAGTAGGCCTAAATGATAACCATGTCCTGTCGGTCCACCAGTAGGCCTAAATGATAACCATGTCCTGTCTGTCCACCAGTAGGCCTAAATGATAACCATGTCCTGTCTGGCCACCAGTAGGCCTAAATGATAACCATGTCCTGTCTGTCCACCAGTAGGCCTAAATGATAACCATGTCCTGTCTGTCCACCAGTAGGCCTAAATGATAACCATGTCCTGTCTGTCCACCAGTAGGCCTAAATGATAACCATGTCCTGTCTGGCCACCAGTAGGCCTAAATGATAACCATGTCCTGTCTGTCCACCAGTAGGCCTAAATGATAACCATGTCCTGTCTGTCCACCAGTAGGCCTAAATGATAACCATGTCCTGTCTGTCCACCAGTAGGCCTAAATGATAACCATGTCCTGTCTGTCCACCAGTAGGCCTAAATGATAACCATGTCCTGTCTGTCCACCAGTAGGCCTAAATGATAACCATGTCCTGTCTGTCCACCAGTAGGCCTAAATGATAACCATGTCCTGTCTGTCCACCAGTAGGCCTAAATGATAACCATGTCCTGTCTGTCCACCAGTAGGCCTAAATGATAACCATGTCCTGTCTGTCCACCAGTAGGCCTAAATGATAACCATGTCCTGTCTGTCCACCAGTAGGCCTAAATGATAACCATGTCCTGTCTGTCCACCAGTAGGCCTAAATGCGCTTTAGAACAATTACAGAATCGTTTTTTTTCTGACAGTCGTATTCTCACGTCGTCGCCATTTTGTTGTGGTGTCATGTGTGAAATATGTCAATGTTATGTTCCTACAACAACTGTTGTGTCTTTTATCACAATATCCCAACATGTCATCTGTTGTGATATGATTAGTGCACATGTTGAGGAAACATCTAGGGTTACAAAATTCCGGTAATTTCCCCCAAATACCCAGGTTTTCCATAAATCCTGTTTGGAGGATTCCGGATTTCCTGCTTATTCCCTTCTGATTCCAGGAATCATCCAACTGGGATTTCTGGAAAACCTGGGCATTTTGGGAAAGGTACTGGAATTTTGGAACTCTTCTCCCATTGTCTCTGCCCTCCTCAGGTGGATGGTTGGACTGATCTGCAGCAGAACCTTGACGACCTGGGGATGGACTCCAGCCGCATCTTCACCATCGTCTTCATCCTCATCGGCTACTTCATCTTCTTCAACATGTTCATCGGCGTGGTCATCATGGAGATCCAGGTACGTACTGGATTACCACCATTGTTGTTGTTAATAAACTCAGAGGTGTAACCCCTCTGCCCCCTGTCCTCCAGGTGTAACCCCTCTGCCCCCTGTCCTCCAGGTGTAACCCCTCTGCCCCCTGTCCTACAGGTGTAAACCCCTCTGCCCCCTGTCCTCCAGGTGTAACCCCTCTGCCCCCTGTCCTCCAGGTGTAACCCCTCTGCCCCCTGTCCTCCAGGTGTAACCCCTCTGCCCCCTGTCCTCCAGGTGTAACCCCTCTGCCCCCTGTCCTCCAGGTGTAACCCCTCTGCCCCCTGTCCTCCAGGTGTAACCCCTCTGCCCCCTGTCCTCCAGGTGTAACCCCTCTGCCCCCTGTCCTCCAGGTGTAACCCCTCTGCCCCCTGTCCTCCAGGTGTAACCCCTCTGCCCCCTGTCCTCATGTGAGTTCCAAATGGCACCGCACCCTTTTCCCATACATAGTGTACGGGCCCTGGTTAAAAGTAGTGCCCTATATTGGGGATAGGGTGCCATTTGGGACTCCTCCTTTCTTCCTGGTCCCAAGCCGGCTCAGTGCTCGGTGCTCGGTGCTCGGTGCTCGGTGCTCGGTGCTCGGTGCTCGGTGCTGCTGCTGTCTCTGTGGGGTTTGTCAGATGTGATGGCCAGACGGCGACTCTCAGGCCGGGCCTGACGTGACCCGTCATATAATTGTGCACAGCTGAAGCCCTGAAGAGAGCACGCGGCCAGGCCAGCTCTTTCAAATCAAATCAAAAGTTTATTGGTCGTGTACATAGTTTAGCAGATGTTATAGCGGGGGGGGGGGGGGGGGGGGGGGCAGCGAAATGCTTATTTTAATAGCTCCTAACAATGCAGTAAAAGTTACACAAAAAATTATACGAAATCAAGAAATGTCGGAACGAATCCAAGTAGCCGTTACCTGCAGTCAAGTGAGCTAATGGCCTCATGGGTGGAATGTTATTAATATTTTTCATAATTTCATAATAATGCACATTATATTTTTTTAACAGCCGGAAATCCGGTGATTCTATGCCAAATGGTTTAGTTATATTTCAGTTTTCAGTGTTGTACAGTACCAGTCAGAAGTTTGGACACATTGAAGGGTTTTTCTTTCTTTCTTTTTCACTATTTTCTATATTGTAGAATAATAGTGAAGACATCAAAACTATGAAATAACACGTATGTAATCATGTAGTAACCAAAACAGTGTTAAACAAATCAAAATATATTTTAGATGTTAGATTCTTCAAATGGCCACCCTTTGCCTTGATGACAGCTTTGCACACTCTTGGCATTCTCTCAACCAGCTTCACCTGGAATGCTTTTCCAACAGTCTTGAAGGAGTTCCCACATATGCTGAGCACTTGTTGGCTGCTTTTCCTTCACTCTGCGGTCCAACTCATCCCAAACCATCTCAGTTGGGTTGAGGTCGGGGGATTGTGGAGGCCAGGTCATCTGATGCAGCACTCCATCACTCTCCTTCTTGGTAAAATAGCCCTTACACAGCCTGGAGGTGTGTTGGGTCATTGTCCTGTTGAAAAACAAATGATAGTCCCACTAAGCCCAAACCAGATGGGATGGCGTATCGCTGCAGAATGCTGTGGTAGCCATGCTGGTTAAGTGTGCCTTGAATTCTAAATATATCACAGACAGTGTCACCAGCAAAGCACCCCCACACCATAACACCTCCACCTCCATGCTTCACGGTGGGAACCACACATGCGGAGATCATCCGTTCACCTACTCTGTGTCTCACAAAGACACAGCGGTTGGAACCAAAAATCTCACATTTTGGACTCATCAGAACAAAGGACAGATTTCCACCGGTCTAATGTCCATTGCTCATGTTCCTTGGCCCAAGCAGGTCTCTTCTTATTATTGGTGTCCTTTAATAGTGGTTTCTTTGCCGCAATTCGACCATGATTCACGCAGTCTCCTCTGAACAGTTGATGTTGAGATGTGTCTGTTACTTGAACTCTGTGAAGCATTTATTTGGGCTGCAATCTGAGGTGCAGTTAACTCTAATTAACTTATCCTCTGCAGCAGAGGTAATTCTGGGTCTTCCTTTCCTGTGGCGGTCCTCATGAGAGCCAGTTTCTTCATAGTGCTTGATGGTTTTTGCGACTGGACTTGAAGAAACTTTCAAAGTTCTTGAAATGTTCCGTATTGACTGACCTTCATGTCTTCAAGTAATGATGGACTGTAATTTCTCTTTGCTTATTTGAGCTGTTCTTGCCATAATATTGACTTGGTCTTTTACCAAATAGGGCTATCTCCTGTATACCCCCTTACCTTGTCACAATACAACTGATTGGCTCAAACACATTAAGAAGGAAATTAATTCCACAAATTAAATTTTAACAACAGGTACACCTGTTAATTGAAATGCATTCCAGGTGACTACCTCATGAAGCTGGTTGAGAGAATGCCAAGAGTGTGCAAAGCTGTCATCAAGGCAAAGGGTGGTTACTTTGAAGAATCTCATATAAAATATATTTTGATATGTTTAACACTTTTTCTGGTTACTACATGATTCCATATGTGTTATTTCATAGTTTTGACGTCTTCACTATTATTCTACAATGTAGAAAATAGTACAAATTAAGAAAAACCCTTGAATGAGTAGGTGTGTCCAGATTTTTGACCGGTGCTGTACATAAATAATAATTGAAAGAATAGGGTGCCATTTGGGACACGTCCAGAGTGATGGGAGGGGATGGATGGAGAGGGAGGGAGGCCCTCTGGGTTTCCTCTGAGTAGCTGCTATAGCGTGATAATGTAACGTATTTCTTAGCTAGTGTGTGAGGTGTTATTTCCGTCCTGCACCATGTGGTATGAGGGGACACTGGTAGTAATGGATCTCTCTGAATAAACATAACAAGGTCATAGAAAGTAAATATGGAGCTTAGCCTCTGCTCGTAAGCTCTGAGGACTGCTTAAATATAGCAACTGGTTTAAGGAAAAAGCTACCAGTTTATATGAAAAAGTTCTTAAATGCAAAAACAAAAGACAATTTTCATTTCAAATAATGTTGTAACTCATGTATTCATATGCGTATTGTTCTTAATATAAATATAAACTATGCACTTTAGATGCACAGGTTTGTCAATCGACTTTTAGGGGTTAATATAAAATTCACTAGGAATTATGCATTTTACAGATTTAAAAACCAGTTGGGAAAATCATAGCTAGGAATCCAATAGTTTTTTCCCCATGTGTTTTCTCCAGCATGCAACGAAGCGTTTTGAGAATGAGGTGCAGAGTGAACGGGAGGCGTCGCTAGTCCAGAAGAAACACACCATCATCCAGAGACAGAAGCATGAGATCAGGAAGCTCATCCAGAGCCAGGTGTCACTCACTCTGTGTCCCTAATAGCACCCTATTCCTTAGACAGTGTACTATAGGAATCTGGTCAAAATTAGTGCACCATAAAGGGAATAGTGTGTTATGTTTACAGTTACACTTTTATTGTATCTTTATTTAACTAGGCAAGTCAGTTAAGAACATATTCTTATTTACAATGATGGCCTACACCGGCCAAACCCGGACGACGCTGGGCCAATTGTGCGCAGCCCTATGGGACTTCCAAAATCACAGCCGGTTGAGATACAGCCTGGAATCGAACCAGGGGGTCTGTAGTGACGCCTCAAGCACTGAGATGCAGTGCCTTAGACCGCTGCGCCACTCGACTAGTGTTAGTTAGGTCTAAGGTTGGTTTATGTCGTGGGATACCTATGCACAAACAGGTGTTGACTTGATTCTTGACTTTTTTAATTTGACTTTTTCACCCTGTGTGCCCACTCCTGGAGCACTAGCCATTTTTTGTGATGATTGACACTTGAGTTGTTGCGATAGACATCCAAACATGACATACTCAACACGCTCTACTCCATGACCTGGCTTCAAATACTATTTGAAATCATTTCAAATACTTAATCTGGGCTTGATTTGAGTTTGCCTGGCGCAAAAGGAACCAATAGAGTAGTCACAGGCTAAAGCGAATGCTAAAACTGGTTTTAAAGATTTCAGATGGCGTTTGAACCCCGGTCTGCCTTCCTCCCTCCATTACAGACGGGCAACTTCCCCAAGCTGGTGGAGCAGTTCAACAAGTCTCTGCGTCACACTGATTACACGGTGATGGAGGACCTGTGTACCAGCATGTCCTTCATAGACATCTACCTGACCACCCTGGATCACCAGGACAACACTGTCGATAAGTAGGCACCCTACAGCATCCCACAGCACCCTTACAGTCTGAACAAGTAGGCATCCCACAGCACCCTTACAGTCTGAACAAGTAGGCATCCCACAGCACCCTTACAGTCTGAACAAGTAGGCATCCCACAGCACCCTTACAGTCTGAACAAGTAGGCATCCCACAGCACCCAGTACAGTCTGAACAAGTAGGCATCCCACAGCACCCTTACAGTCTGAACAAGTAGGCATCCCACAGCACCCTTACAGTCTGAACAAGTAGGCATCCCACAGCACCCAGTACAGTCTGAACAAGTAGGCATCCCACAGCACCCTTACAGTCTGAACAAGTAGGCATCCCACAGCACCCAGTACAGTCTAAGCGTGTGTCCCGAATAGCACCCTATTCCCTATATAATGCATGATGGAATTTGGGACGTAGTACACCAAGCACTAAATGTCTTCTCTCAGAGACCTTTAGGTAGGCACACACACGCAATCAGAGTCCCATCTGGGTCACAGCCAAACAGACACTATCCTATAAAGGGTTAATGATTCTTCTGTGAGGGCAAACAGACACTATCCTATAAAGGGTTAATGATTCTTCTGTGAGGGCAAACAGACAGTAAACGAGGGTTATAAAGACAGATAGGTGTTTTGGACTCAATTGAGTGTTATGACACAATAGGAAGGGAATAGGGTTAGAGAGATGTCTGTTATGACACAATAGGAAGGGAAGAGGGTTAGAGAGATGTCTGTTATGACATAATAGGAAGGGAATAGGGTTAGAGAGATGTCTGTTATGACATAATAGGAAGGGAAGAGGGTTAGAGAGATGTCTGTTATGACATAATAGGAAGGGAATAGGGTTAGAGAGATGTCTGTTATGACATAATAGGAAGGGAATAGGGTTAGAGAGATGTCTGTTATGACATAATAGGAGGGAATGAGGGTTAGAGAGATGTCTGTTATGACATAATAGGAAGGGAAAGGGTTAGAGAGATGTCTGTTATGACATAATAGGAAGAGGGTTAGAGAGATGTCTGTTATGACATAATAGGAAGGGAATAGGGTTAGAGAGATGTCTGTTATGACATAATAGGAAGGGAAGAGGGTTAGAGAGATGTCTGTTATGACATAATAGGAGGGAATAGGGTTAGAGAGATGTCTGTTATGACATAATAGGAAGGGAATAGGGTTAGAGAGATGTCTGTTATGACATAATAGGAAGGGAAGAGGGTTAGAGAGATGTCTGTTATGACATAATAGGAAGGGAATAGGGTTAGAGAGATGTCTGTTATGACATAATAGGAAGGGAAGAGGGTTAGAGAGATGTCTGTTATGACATAATAGGAAGGGAAGAGGGTTAGAGAGATGTCTGTTATGACATAATAGGAGGGAATAGGGTTAGAGAGATGTCTGTTATGACATAATAGGAAGGGAATAGGGTTAGAGAGATGTCTGTTATGACATAATAGGAAGGGAATAGGGTTAGAGAGATGTCTGTTATGACATAATAGGAAGGGAATAGGGTTAGAGAGATGTCTGTTATGACATAATAGGAAGGGAAGAGGGTTAGAGAGATGTCTGTTATGACATAATAGGAAGGGAAGAGGGTTACCTGGATCTGTTATGACATAATCCATGAATGGCGATAGAGGGTCACCTGGATCTGAATAAGATCATAATTAAAGAAGGGAATGTTTAAGAGATTGTCTGTGTTGACTTTGCTTTTTTAACTACATGGACCGGAAGGGCATTTTCAATCAGAACTTGTTTTGTCTATGAAAAGACCTGGATGTTGTGGAACATATGTAAGCTGTTTTTCTGGAGATTCCGTTAGAAATGGATGAATTCGATGATGTGTCCGTTTGCATAATAGGCAGTCTCATATTCTTTTAAAGCTCCAACTAATGGACGTAGACTGGTAAACGTAAGCTTAAGTGACATGCACGTGTCAACTTCGTCAAAATTATGTTGACTGCAAAGAATGTGGTAGAGTTCTTTTGCATATAGAAGGGAATAGGGTTAGAAGATGTCTGTTAGGACATACATAGGAAAGCGGAAAGGGTTAGAGAGATGTCTGTTATGACATAATAGGAGGGAGATGGTTAAGAGATGTCTGTTATGACATAATAGGAAGGAAGATTGTTAGAGAGATGTCTGTTATGACATATAGGAAGGGAATAGGGTTAGAGAGATGTTTTGTTATGACATAAAAGGAAGGGAAGAGGGTTTGAGAGATGTCGTTATGACATAATAGGAAGGGAATGGGTTAGAGAGATGTTTTATGACATAATAGGGAAGGGAAGAGGGTTAGAGAGATGTCTGTATGACATAATAGGAAGGGAAGAGGGTTAGAGAGATGTCTGTTATGACATAATAGGAGGGAATAGGGGTTAAAAGAATTTTCTGTTATGACATAAAAGGAAGGGAATAGGGTTAGAGGGGATGTCTGTTATGACATAATAGGAAGGGAATAGGGTTAGAGAGATGTCTGTTATGACATAATAGGAAGGGAATAGGGTTAGAGAGATGTCTGTTATGACATAATAGGAAGGGAATAGGGTTAGAGAGATGTCTGTTATGACATAATAGGAAGGGAAGAGGGTTAGAGAGATGTCTGTTATGACATAATAGGAAGGGAAGAGGGTTACCTGGATCTGTTATGACAGCCATGAAGTGGCGATAGAGGGTCACCTGGATCTGAAATAAGATTCATAATTAAAAACTGTTTGAATTTCTGTGTTGACTTTCTTTTTCAATACATGGACCGGAGGCACTTTTCAATCAGAACTATGTTTTTGTCTTATCCTAAAAACCTGGATGTTGTGGAAACATTTCTAAGCTGTTTTTCTGGAATATCCAGTTTAGAAATGGATACATTCGATGATTTGTCCGTTTTGCATAATGCAGTCTCATATTCTTTTAAGCTCCAACCTAATGACGTAGACTTGGTACCGTAAGCCTTAAGGTGACTGTCACGTGTCAACTTCGTCAAAATTATGTTGACGCAAAGATGATGATTTGGGTAATTACTACATTTTCTCGGGACGTGCATGATTATAGTAATTTAGTCGGTGTAATAAGGCTTGTAACAGCGTGCAGCGGTACCATCCAAACATCCACTATCAGCAGCTTGTTTGTCATTTTGTTTCAGGTTCAAATCGTGAAACTACATCCTCAGAAATCTGCAACTAAATGAGGATACTATCGCATACACCTTTACACGGTTTATGTCTTTATAGCATAAACACTTTCAGTTGATATGAGGCCTCGATAACGCTGCCTTTGTGTACACTCAAATGAAAGGGCAATATCTCATTTGTAAAGAAAACGTTTGTGTGTGTGTGTGTGTGGTGATAGATAGCTACCACAGTGACTTTAAATTACAGGTCATTATAGAGGCTATAGTTGTTATGAAAAGTAAGGTAACTAAAGTGTTATGAAGAGATGAAATAAGAGAACATCCCCTTGCAGGCTGCAGCAGTTGTTATCTGAGGCCATTCTGATTCTGAGTGTCTTACTGGAAGAAGACCTGATTGAAATGGAGCAGAAAGCAATGAGAGAGAGGAAAATCAAAATGAGCGAACAACAGGTACAGGAACAGGGATCCATCTGAGAGCTGCTGAGAGCTGAAAGCCTTATTCATTTGCATACTGGTATTCAAATAAAAAAAAGAGACATTTATAACGCTGTCTGTCACGTGTTTTGTCTTTGTGGTCCTCTGTAGCTCAATTAGTAGAGCATGGCGCTTGTAACGCCAGGGTAGTGGGTTCGATCCCCGGGACCACCCATACGTAAAAATGTATGCACACATGACTGTAAGTCGCTTGGGATAAAAGCGTCTGCTAAAATGGCGTATTATTATTATGTCCAGTCCATTAGCCTAGAGCTGGCAGAGAATGGTCTTCAAAATGTATCCAGGGTGCATCCCAAATAGCATTCTATTCCCTAGATAGTGTACTACATAGGGAATAGAATGCTATTTGGGATGCAGACCAGGCCATGCTGTCAGCCAGGCAGGGAGAGTCCAGTCCAGATGGCCCACATAGTCATGTCTGTGCTCAGGCTTGGGGCCACTGTGAGGTAGGCTACTATCTGTAGAATCCTGAGACCCACCTAACCCCTCCCTCTGCTGGTGAAAAGCCACAGACCAGCACAACGCGTAATCTGTTACACAGGGGACTTTATATGGAGTTCTTGAAGATTGATTCTCAAAGATTCATTCGGAGTCAGTTCATGACCCATATGTTATCTTCTCACTAGTAGCAAACCTGTTTGCATTTCGTGCTGTTTTTGGGAAGTAACTATCTATTGTTAAAAGATATGTTCAGAGGAAGTAGACTCACAAGCAATGGCTTTCCTGTATGCATAGAAATATCTGTTCGAATATTTACAGGCTATAAAATGACACCTTAGATCTCCTCTTCAGTGATATACAAAGGCAGGGATGTGGGCTAATTGGAAAATATATGATTGCTTTTATAACAATCAGTCTTTGTTTGTATTATGAGTCTTTATGAGACTTGAATGCGTTTTTATGATCATGTCATGAACAACGTAACCATGTGAAGATAGAGCCAGCCGAATCCAAACAACGCGCGTTTGAAACTCCCATTGACACCAATGCATGGTTTACACACGAAGCTTTGAGTTGCGAAAACGTTTGTCAAGGGTTAGGCCCATGGGTGTTATCTGATCGTCAAACGCTTGATCTGCCCTTAGCAAACTCTGCCAATATGTCATTTATGGTGTCTTTATTTATTTGTATAATATTTTACATAAGTTATTTGATTCTTATTATATAGCCTATTGCATTCAAAATAATGCATTGATGTTTGTGACCAGTGACATAATAGTCGAATATTATGGCACTAAACGAAAAAAGTCTAAAACGCAATAACCCCTGTAAAAGGCATATTGATATATCATTGAAAGTATATAAACATTGCAGTTACAGTAGAGTATGGCGTGAATATCATCCTAATGGGTCAGTAAAATAGATATGGGATTGACTGAAGGTGTGAACCTGGAGATATCGTATTGATCGCTCTCTTAATAATTGTAAAGAGAAAAAACCATCACGCTTGACAATTGCAAACACTCATAGTCGTTGTAAAATCTCGCTGATTATTAGCGTTATCACAGGTATTCAGAGATAAAAAAAAAAAAAAATAATGGCGGTTTAAAATTGGCTATGTTGGTAGGGGCCTATGTTAAGTTGTGTTGGATATTGTGAGGCCAAATTCTCACAATATCCAATTCCAGCTCGTAAGCCTAACATTATGAGTATATCCCTGCTGAAGTATTGTCCCGACAGTAAAAAATACTAAAAAGGAATAGCTTACGCTCAAAAATAAGGGATGAAGAAACCAAGCTGGAGTTTGGAGAAAATGCCAAGTCGTTCGCCAGTAGCAAGTCTCAGCTTTTCATCATAGCGAGTATGATTACTTAAAGGAGTAGCCTGGTCTAAATGCTCTTGCAGTAGCCTGCTTCTCATCAGCGGTTCAGCCCACATCATTCAAACCACAATGCGTTGTCAACAGAATAAGATCTGTAATGTGAAATATCCAGTCGAACTAAAAGCACAGACAGCAATCGTTGGAATGGCCATTGACTGGCAGAATATGGACGTTAACTGTGTTAATAGGTCAAGATTGGTCTGAGTTGTCATCAATGGAATAATGTATTGTAGACTGGTATAGGCTATTTACTAACATTACTTCCTGACAAAATAAAGGTTAACCCTCCCGTTGTCTTAGGGTCAAAATGACCCGCCACTGTGTTGAACCAACTTTATTTATTTTTTATTTTTTGGGGATCATTTGTGAGAAGGAGGCAGTGAGACTTTAAAGAAAGTATCACTGCCTCCTTCTCACAACTGATCCCAAAAATATAAAAATTAAATAAAGTTGGTTCAACACAGTGGCGGGTCATTTTGACCCTAAGACAACGGGAGGGTTAAATAAAAAAATACTACGCACTCCCATCTTATTCCATAAACTTGGAAAATGTTTGTGTTCGTTTATACCTTTTCCCTTTATTAAATAAATACCTGAAATAAACTACTATCTGCTTTATTGTATTCAAACAGATCATAAACACATGAAGTTACTTTTCAATCACCTTTTGTATACAGTATAATGGACTTTGCTTGATCTTACATAATTATCAACTTGTACAAAACACGTTGCACTCAAGTTAAAGCATGCGGGATTTCTATTTTTAGCACATAAAAAATGAGAAAATACTCCAGACAAAGCAGGCTATAAAATTAAACTCACGCTAAAGAAACTGGACACATTTAACCGGGCCCGTGGCACCCCCTGCATAGACGGTAAAGCACACATGAGCAATATAAGCTATGTACAATATAATTATTTTTCTACCGAGTCTGGATACGCCGTTTTGTTGCACTTTTTGTTCTAATCCAAGACCAAGAGTGTATAGGCCTAAGCCTATACAAGCCACGTTCAAATTGGTTTGAGTCCTCAAAGCAAGAAAGCGAAAATACACAGAAGTTCCTTTGTCTGTTTCTTATGTTCAATGTTGCAATGTAACACGTCTTCATCATCACTTTTTAAATCAAAAAGACAAACATTTTAATTGTTGTGCAAGTTCAATGGTAAACACATACAACCCGCATAATCCATTTGAAAAATAAACGATTGCAACTAATCCAGTTTAGTTGTCTTTCGCCCCGTTCGCCTTGCTAGGCCTTGCTAGGCCTACTTGGCCTACAGCTGTCGGCAAATTATTTTCTTCGCGGCTGATCCGTCAACTGTTGTATTGACAGGCGTTAAGGCTCGACCCGGGACTTTGCAACCCGCTGTATCCAAAGGTTGGGTGCTGTTTCGATTTCAGTCTCAGAGTCGCCAGGCTAGAGTTACATGTGTCTCTGTATACGCTGTAAGGGGAACCGGGAGGTCCATACGGACAGGCGGAGGAGGACATGGCTGAGTTCATTGTAGAGGTGCCGATGCCGTTAAGATTGCTGATGTTGTTCAGGCCAGCAGTCGGCATCCCCGGTACAGCGGAGTGGCCCATACCTCCGGCCATAGTCATAGAAGAGATGGAGTTAGGAGCCGAGAACATTGACTGGGATGTGAGTGGGCTCATTGAATTGAAAAAAGTGAAGTTCTTTGTGGACAGAGGGGCCGGGGTCAGTCCTTTGTTCGTCCAGTTGTTGTAGGTGTAGGCGGGATACATGTCATCGTAGGGCTGCATGAGGCCACTAAACTGCGGAAGGTAGCTGTTCTTGCACAGGTCCATTTGCTGGTTGCGTTCACGCTTCCTCCATTTGGCCCTGCGATTTTTGAACCATACCTAAATATCAAAGGAAAAATATAAATATGGATTCAACATATCTATAACAATAATGTAATTTAAAGTAATTATTATAATAATAGTTGTATATGTTAGCTTAGTATTATTATTTGTCACATTCACAATACAATCCGATGTCAAATATAAAGCTAGGCCTAATGAGCCTATGAATGATGGAAAACCTAGAATATCAATAGTGACAAAATCGGCTCTAATGTTTGTCTAACAAGAAACACTTCGTAATTACTATGGAAACATCAGGTGTAGTATATCTTTAAAAATAATTTATATATTTTTTCTATTCGTTTTTTTCTGTGGGTGCTGCAGCACGTCAGCGTCCCTCCTTCCCGGGACTATGCTCGGGGCTTCACGGTTGTAGGCTAATGATAAATTGTCCACAAAGACATGAACGACGTGATACCATAAACTTAGAGCACAGCGGTGGGTATATAATTAGAAAAGCCTACTCGTCATTGTATTTTAGCTGTGGGCCTATATCTGAAATTAACCAGATTTTAAGAAGGCTACTAGTGGAATTATCACATTCGTTATTATCAATAGTTGTATTATCAATAAGTGTTTGCACCGCCCCTCGCAAGACCACTGAATAAAAAAAAATATATTATGTTGTGCGTCTATTGAGTGTATTAGTAATTCCGTTCTGTTGACTAATAAGGTCAGCGATACAACATGATAATCTACTGCAATTGTGATCCTCTTCAAAATGTTTGAAACTATTATACAGACATAGGCTATGGATAATAGTAATGTTATCTTCTAGCCATCGAAAAACGAAATTAACACCGTATATTTAGGCGCTTATTGGGTTTTGAAGTAATGTACACTTGTTGCTAACCGGGGTGCATTGTTGTTAGGATATGTAGGCTTGAAAATATTCATACATTTACACATGGACAAAAGCCTAATCGTAAGCCTAGGACACAAACTCAAGTTTATCCTGTTTCTTGCCTACAAGATAAGGTGGTCCTCTGTAGCTCAGCTGGTAGAGCACGGCGCTTGTAACGCCAAGGTAGTGGGTTCGGGACCATATTATTATTATTATTATACATTGCGATTAAAACACCCGATTTGTTTAAGGGGGGGGGGGGGTTGGGTTGAATTTAGCAAAAAAATGGTTTCCAATAGGCCTACTGTGCAATTATACTCGCAAGAACAGTGTATGTATGTACAGTAAGTATGGTAATTACTCATTGCACTGCACTAAAATTGTTTTACTGTAAAAAAAAGTTTATAGAGTAACACGTTACAGTAAGTAAACTGTTACCGAAATAAATATTCTAAATTGATTGGCGCAGTATTGGCTATCGGTACAGGTTACAGGCTATACTGAAAACATAGTAGATGCAAAGTCATCAAAAGTGGATACATTTGTGTTCATTTGTCACCCCCGAAAGATGTTATCGAAAATGCAATTGGTGGGGAGAGCCAGTTAGTTTGAGTGGGGATTACAATGAGGAACATTTAAATGCTTGGGGGAGGAGAATTATGGTGTCAGTTCTACCTCATAACGTTAGTAATCACTGGTAATTATTGCAACGAAATCATCCAAGTGATATTCGAATGTAGGCTTGAAGTCAAGTAATAAACCCCGAAAAGGTTTCAACGGAAAGGTTTTTTTTTACTGTAGAATTCGTTCATTCACATCTTTATGGTTTCCCTCTGAATAGACTTTACGCACGTTTTACGCACGGCCCAAAGCGTGTCTCGAGGCTTACCCTGACTCTGGCCTCGGTGAGGTTGGTCCACACGGCTATTTCCTCTCTCGTGCTCATGTCCGGGTAGCGATTCCTCTGAAAGGTGGCCTCGAGCTCTTGCAGCTGCTGGCTGGTGAAATGAGTCCGCTGCCGCCTCGCTTTCTTCTTTTTGGGGTCGTCTGCGTTTCCATCGTCACTTCTGTGTTCTACGATCCTCTCTTTTTCTGCGAAAAAAATAAATAATATAAATTCTGGTTATTGTACTGTAGCTTATACTGAGCCAGACTACTTAGATGTTTACACAGAGGGGTGCCCCTCCCCCAAATGGGTTCTGTACAATCTCAGTCCAACTCAACTCATGAGTCTAGATAGGCCAAAAACGCATGTACAATGTTGTACAAAAACAAAATAGTTTACTTCTGCAGCAGAAAAGCATAACAGGCCATACCAGGCAGGATGATCCAAGCAGTGTTTGAAGTGTCACATAAATCACTAAAGCAAATGACCAGTTTCAAAAGCCTTTTACAAAGACCACAATAAGTATCACGTGCTCGTGGTCGTCAAACTGACGGATTTGCTCCGGGTTCAATATTGATTATTTTAGAAGCTCTATTAAGCATTTGTCGGCCTCTACCTGCATAAACCAACATTCCTTTTGTTGCAACGTTTGTCCAGTCTTATCCAACGTCCATTATCTTGTCAATGCGTATCTTTTACAAGATAGCCTTTGTTTCATACCTAGAAAATAGCTAGATGTAAGAAGGGCAATACTTTAAGAAGCAAGGTCAGTTTTTAAAACAAACTCGCCGTATTGTATAGCTGACTGTATTGGTTAGCCTTATTCTCCTCAGGCCTACGTCTCATGATCTCTTTAGTGTGACTATATATTGATATAGCCTACAACTGATGAAGAGGTGGGATAAAAAAGAACTGACCATCCTGCAGCAGCACATAATATATCTTCAAGCAATGATTTTTACTTGGTTTAAATATGCAGAAAGTATGCGATTTGAAAACTCATCAAACTGTACGCTATTTCTTGTTATAGATGTTAGAACACCAAAATTATTTATTTGAGAATATGCTCGAAAATGTTTTCATAGCATGGCGGTGAAATAGGCCTACACTTCAGCAAAGCGTTTTAGACACGACATTTAGCCTACGGAAATTAATACTGAAATCAATAATATGACGCTGCAGAATTCCCATTCATTCAGATTGGGTAAAATGCACTTCATGGCCTTAACTTTTCCCTGCAAGTTTTAAGAAATAAAAACGTTTTCTTTTTTTTAACAATGGGCCACTTCTCTCTCACATAGCCTATTGACTATGTGTATTTTAGTCCAATACTCAATGCATTGGGCACGTTGCATGCTACATATCTACGTTTCTCTTATCGAAAAACGTACGCACATAAGTAGAATGTTTAACAGGAAAAGCCGTGTTTTAATTATACCTAGCGATAATGATAGTAGGTAGGCCTAATACAATGTTATTACACCGTAAATGTACCTGCTATTTCAGTATCGGTTGACTCGCTGCTTGAGTTCTCTAACGTTTCTCGAGTGTTGTTCGAAGTTCTCGGCACGTGAAGCGTAGAAGCCTGCATGTCGCGCGTCGGTGGCGGTCTCACCGTCTCTGCAATTCTGTCCAAATTCATTCCACCTTGAAAAGAATGATGTCGTATTAAAAAATAAATATTCAATCCTGTATATGCGAGCGTTCTCAATCTTCAACACGAATGCTTAGATTTCCACCCGTAGCAAAACAATTGCCATTGCAAAAAAAAGCTTTTTAAAACAGATTTCCACGAATTTGTTCTCCGGAAAAACAAACACACTTTTCTCCGCAGCAGTGACAGTGCGTTATGCTTTCAGTTTCCGCTGGCGGGGATATGCCCGGTGTGACCGAATGGAAGCGCTCACAGCAGAACCAAGGGATGTGACCCACCCATCTTCTGTGTTAAAACCTCCCCGAAATGAGGAGTCCCACCCACAAAGAGCATTCAATCTGACTGCAGGAGAGGTGTTTTTTTTTTGGGATTTATCTCAGGGGAGCGCATGAGGCAACGGCGAGTTGCTTTGCGTTGGAAAGTTTGGAAGAAAATGGGCCCTTTATTCAGACATGTTTGAAATATGCTCCAGCGCAATGGAACTGCCCGACAGCTGGGTGCGCTTATATACACACGCACACAATGTATGTCTCGGATATGAACGGGGCTGAATAAACATTTGCATATAGGCCTGTCCGTGTTATTTTCAAGGCCAAACATACATGGAAAGTACCTAATTTATATTTAAGTATGTATATGAAAGAAGCACACTGCTGCTGCAATAAGCTATGTGCCGTAACGGTCTATCAATTCATGTATGGGGCCCTTTTGATGAGCTCTATTTTCAGGCCTTCTAAACAATCACGGATTAAAAGCAAGTGAGGTGGACCTTGTGTCAAAATAATGAAGTGATGTGTTTGTGTGTGTGTGTGTGTGTGTGTGTGTGTGTGTGTGTGTGTGTGTGTGTGCGCGCGCCACCGCGTCACTGCACTGATTCAGGCATCTTCGCGTGTAGCCTTTACAATCGTATCTCTCTCTACTTGTAACTGTCAAAGATAAGACAAATAATCTCAACTATGAAAATTACAACCTCATGAGATATTACTGCATAAAGTAGGCTACAAATGATGATGATGATGCGTGTAGGATTTATTTGAGGCTTTAATTTTGTACACTTTGATTAACAATTATTCACAGTTCGATAACAACTTGCATATACTAACTACACAGATATGTCTTAAGCAAATATTTGTTTTTAGATGTTAATGAAAAAATGTCAGCACTATCAATCTTTTAGTTGGTCCTTCTAAACACAACACTGAATGACCAAACATGACATGCCATTTCTCAGCGTAGAAAGACAAAAAACTGAAATTATAACCTCTTTCATACACATGTACTAAAATATTTGCATGCACTTTTTTACTGGAAATATTCACGTTTACTCGACCGATTTTTGCTACTTAAAACAGTAACGGAAGCCTATGGCATCCAAATACACTAGGCCATAGGCCTACCCATAAATTCGTCTCGTGACAGTTTCTAACTTTATTAAATTCGATGGAACTAACGATTGACCTTTTGCATTCAGATAGGCTAGGCCTCTGTCACTTGATATAAAAAACACATTGCCTAAAAAACGGCATCGAGTTGAGTTGCTTGAGCATGGAGACTATTTTGGACAATCAGACAGACCTACTGTAAATCAGCGGCGCCTGCTGGTAAGACATGACGGAGACGAAACGTCACATCACACAGTTATGAGCCCGGCCATTTGAATCCACTCTTGAATTAAATTCCAATGAATTGATTTTTTCAGTGAATCATTTCAATATATTTCAATATATAAGTTCTACCTCAACATATATGTTTGCCTTGTATTCTTTTTTTTTTTTTTTAAGAAAGGCTTTATATAGCCTAGGCCAGGATTCCCCAACTGGCGGTGATTTTATTTGGCCCCCAAAGTTTTCTGAGCAAAAAAAAAGTTTCATATTTTTTTGTTTTATTTTATTGTTGGTCATAAAAGACTGTAAAAACACCAGCAAATCAGCTCAAAGTGATGTTCGTTTTGGAAGCCTGTTCCAAAGTATAACCACGCATGATTGAGAGATATACAGTATGTGATCGTATAAAAATGTAAGCGAGGTAGTTAAATATTATATCCGATTGGGCTTCTTGCGGTCAATTTGCAGTTTACAAATTATTCGTAATTATGTTCCGGTACCCTGACCATCTGCTCAAGAAAAAAAAATCGTCCCGCGGCTGAATCTAGTTGATGATCCCTGGTCTAGGTCTATGAACAGCATATATTTGTCTGTCATTGAAGCTAAATGTCTGTCACTGCAGCAGAGTTACAATACATAGAAAGGAGTAAACAATGCATGTCAATCACCTGTCACTGTAGTTAACGCAATATGCAATTACAATGCAAACTCCTTTTGAGTTGATAGCGGAGTAAATGTAAAGGAACGAGGACGAGGCAAGGCGAGCCGCCCGCCCGTGTCAACCTGGATTGGTGTAAAACATAGGCCTATATCTGCATTCATTATTTCGTTTTGGATGATTTTATGCATTCAACTGTTTATCATCGTCAACTAAAAAAGTAATGAGTAACTCTGGTGGTAGGCCTATTTTATTCGCCATGCTTCCAAATGGCCCAAATAACAATGCAGTATTATATAATGACTTTGGCCAGGTAGTGTATGCGGCTTCCGGTTGTGCACGGTCTCCAAGCTTTGTTGCCGGCGCCAGTGCTAAGCGCTTTAGGTCATTGTATGACATTAACTTTTGACATGAGAACCCGGTCGAACTGTAAAGCTTCCCTTCAGGGCCTTTCAGAAGGCAATTGTGCAACCTCTCAACAATCACTTACTATTTCATTCATTTGTTCTGTTTCCTCGCCAGAGTAATGTAATATTGTTTTTATGTTATTGAACCGCTTTGTAAAATGAGTTTTCTTGAGCACTGAATGCACGCCATGCTGTCACCTGTAATAACGCCTACAGGCCTACCCATTCCTTATATTAAAACTAGAATCATGTAAACCAACGAAGTGGTTTGGCGTTTGCTTTCCTAATTGGTTCATGCACTATTGGCTGTGTGTCGTGGTCAACTGCATTTAAGCTAATCCAGAAACAAACCAAACATTTTCAATGAATGTAACTATTGCATTTTAACTCTCCTAAATTGACTGGAACGTTGATGGAAAGGATTCGATCCTGGTAATAGTGAAGAACTGAGATAGGAACATAAAATCAAGGGCAACCCCAATGCCACACAAACGTCTCAGCGAATGAAGACATGTAAGCTATTGACAAACTCATCTCTACTACTTAAAAACAAGGTTCCTACTATCTAATCATTTTGAAGGCGCCTAAAAAAGGCCAAGTAGAGGTGACATAATTGGCCTATAGTACGCGCAATTACGCACAACCAAATGAAGATGCTCATCATAGTGAACGACCAACAGAGATGTAGTCAGCATCGCTTTGGGCTTTGGCTCTTATGTTAGAGGCGAGACTGGACTGGTGCTGTTACCTCTTTGACAATCTATGTCATAGGCCTAATCTGTTCATGTCATGTATATACAGTGAAAGAGGGACTATCATGTCAATTTTGGCGTTGAACTTTTTTATTGGACTGCCGCATTGTTGGCTCGGCTTGGTCTAATAATGCGTTTTCAAATATAGGGCACTTGCGTGACGGATGGTTTACAAAAGTTTTTTCATCCACCAAGACGGGTTACAGGGCAGAGGCAAGATAAACAGTCATATTTTTTCGGAGGACTGAAAATAAACTCAACGACCGTCGTTAATCATCACAAACAAACCAAAAAATAAAAAATGGAATTCAAGCAGGGCCTAGTGTGTTTTATCGTCTCCTTTCTGTCGTGCCCAAAACAAACCACAGAAGGAGCAACGAAAACAGAAAATTAAACATTGCCTGAGATTCAAAGCGAATAAATAAATGAGGTTTGAATGTAATTGGACAGGCTGCGTAACTGGAGAAGGTGTGGATTTAATGACATTATTACCTTAGTGATCGTCATATCTTGGCCATCTCCAGTGGATACTTGGTCAAAGGCCTGGGTGATCCGTTCCCGATAACCACCCTGACATTTGAACGAGTGTTTCAGTCGAAATGTCTCCACCATCTCACTCATTAGGCTACTTTGGTTCAATATAGCTTTAGATTAATTGAGGTCATGTCACTATTGTCTCATGTTCTCTTCAACAGTCCATAGGCCAAGTAAAAAGTTATGTTAAGTCCTCATCAATATAGGCTACATGATCCATTTCTTTATCAAATATAGCCTAACCAGTTGATTGCGTAAATGCAAATTACATCATTAATTACATTTCAGGGTCAGGGTTGCCTTTTGGATTGGATAGGCTAAGTATTTAATATAATGATAATACATAAGCGAACATTCCTGTTGAATTTAATCGTATGGTTTGCATAGCCTACAGATTAAAGGTCTGTGTCAAATAGCCTATATATGATATATCAGTTAAGGCTATTCATTAAAGGCTATTCGTTTTTCGCGTTCACCGCTTTAGTTACACATAAATGACAGAAACCAATTAAGGATCCTAGATCTCTATAGGTTATTGTTGTGTTTTGGGTTGTTATCCCAACATGGTTTCATCAAGTTTATTTAAGCCACGCTTAGGCAAACAATTAAAGTAACCTATATTTTTGCGCAATAAGGTATAGGCTAAAACTTACATTTAACATAGCAAATAACAAATCCTTCATAAGGATGCATGAACTATTCAGATGCAAGAAGCATACAAAACGAGAACACTATGTAACCTACGGGCATAATAAAGGCTTTATTGTGCATTTATAAGCATAAAATAACAACTAGGCTTACGTATTGGGCCTCCTGTAGCTCAGTTGGTAGAGCATGGCGCTTGCAACGCCAGGGTTGTGGGTTCGATTCCCACGGGGGGCCAGTATGGAAAATGTATGCACTCACTAACTGTAAGTCGCTCTGGATAAGAGCGTCTGCTAAATGACTAAAATGTAAAATGTTCTCAACACCATGTTCGTTTATAAGCTGCTTGTGCACTGACAACGAATTAATTTAGCATTTACCAAGGCTTTATGAATGCATAATAAACCAGGTTTGACCAGTAAACTGTTACCAAAGTGTAAAAGAAGTAGTGAAGCATGCATACCTGGATCTCCGCAGGAGATTACATTCTTTGACAAATTAAGTTCCATTCCAGATGCCTGAAATAAAAACAAAATAACAAAGGTGCATTCAACATCATATTATTTTACACAGGTTCGTCATTGTAACCTTCTTACCTCTTATTGATAAATCCACTTAAAGCAGGCATAAAACAGGCCTATATTGGCCCAAGTGAATAGCGTGCACGCACTTGCCCCTTTGCTTAGGCTAAATGAAAATATAACGAAACAAATGCGTGCACAACACAACGTTCAATAACATAGTCCTTTTTGGCTGCACGTATTAACCAATGGGAATTATGTTGACCTTTCCGTTCAGAGATACCGTTGCCTAAAAGTCTTTATCGTGATGTATACAGATAACCTCTCGTATCTTCAGGAATCCCTTTGCTCGCTTTATGTCCATAATAAATCGTGACATAATACATGGTTCCCATTTTTCACACCGATGTCGCTCACACACACACACACAGTTGTGATATGTCAGATTAGTAACATATTATAAGAGCACATACTCTAAATATATGAATCAAGAGGCTTTTGAGAAGTAATTGTATTTATTCATTATTACATCTTATGATATAAATGTGTATTTCTTCTAACATTTTACCTCTCATGCGATATCGTTATTTTTCAGATGTCCAGTCATAGCCTAAAGTTTTGTCATCCGTGCACTTATGAAAAATATCATTCAATTTAACATTTTATTTCAATATCCAACAACACCCTATATACCCTGACAAGGTTTGTATTCTTCTTCTACAACTGTCACGTAACATTTTGCATTTACATTTAACAACGTAACCCCCTGAAAGCGATGTCATGCCAACGCGTTATACTCGAATCCTCGACGTACCCACTTGACATGGACTGTAGATGCTGCGCCAATGTGTTAAGACTCGGTTATTGCTAGACGGTTTGGAAGGTTATGTTCAGCAATCTCGCAGACCATCTAATGCGATTTGTAAACACGACTGTCTACTCTACAGAACTGCGGCGCAAACACAAACGCTCTCGTGCATATCGCTCCAGACGCTCACACATAGCCTGATCGTTCGTTCTTATAGTAAATATATTGGAAAGGCATATATTTTCCACACAACTCGAATAGCCTACTCACCAGTTAATTCCCAGCAAAGACAGAAAAAAGGAGTCGTTGAAATGTCCACATGCAGGTGTGAAATATATCCACTTAAGTGCGGGCATATGATGCGTCCAAATATGCGCTTTGATAGCTTCTCTGCGTTGCTCCGGGTTTTTCTTCTGGAGACCTTTCTCCTGTCCCGGTGACGTCACGCCAGCGAACCCTCGACAGCAACTCGATACATGATGCGCATATGCCATGAGGAGATGTACAAGCAACCCGTCTTTTGGAAGGCTGAGAAAAGCGTAAATAAATGGCTCTGAATATCAATATGTTTAATGGATTATATGATGAAAAAAACATTTATGGTGAAGAAGATATCGACTAGAAATCTCGGCATGGGGAAAATATTTACCATTTAACTTTATATTTTATATAGTCTACTCTACATGTTGGCAAAAAGATTATGCGATACTGACAATATAGCCTATGCAAGCAGTTACAATTAATTTAGGAAAGATAATACAATGTAAAAAATAGTAATAATTGTGTTTTTGGTCTTTTGGCTTGGGTGGGCTATATAGCTACCATTAGAATTCCTCAATAAAACACAATTCTCACTTTAAAGCAATTATGCTTGGAGCAGATGCGCATATTGCTTTTATAGCTTTAATTTATCAACGGCAACTATTTAAACAAAACGCTATTAGACAATATTTACCCTCCTTTTCAAACCACACACTATATACCGCTGATAAACACGTTATTTCATTTGATTAAACTTGCTCAAATCGCACAATTTCATAATTTATGCTTGCAGCTCAGTTTTTGCAGGCCTTAATCTAAAATGATGAATTAGCCAATGGTATTTGTATTTATGTGACTTTACGCTCAGCATTGATTTGATTGCAGCTAGTTCCTGTTTTAGCTCGACAAACAAGTAATAGGTCTAGCCGAGAAAATAAACGTTTGCTGAGCATTAATACTTTAAATATCCTATAGCCTTAAAGAAGTGATTACACGAAGCACGGCTCGGCTATTGTCAGCGGCCTAGCTACATTTAGTCATTTAGCAGACGCTCTTATCCAGAGCAATTAGGGTTAAGTGCCTTGCTCAAGGGCACATCGACAGATTTTTCACCTAGTCGGCTCGGGGATTAGAACCAGCGACCTTTCAGTTACTGGCACAACGCTCTTACCCACTAAGCTACCTGCCGCCCCGAATGTTAAGCTACTTAAACATATTCCCTTTCTGCATGAAATGTTTGCTACCATAGCCGTTTAGCCAATACATGATTCTGTTTGTTACTATACAATTTCAAAGTATTTAAAAAAAAACAGATGAAATGTAGCCTAACAGCCTAACTAGTTTATTTGTTAGGCATAAACAGCAGGAACATTTTGTTTTAAATTAAAATGTTGAACTGTATTTTTTATGCTTTCCCAATTTAGCTATTCGTATTCAAATCATTGTCGCCTATTGGAAATAAACATTCGATATATAGATGCGTGCGAAAATATACAATAACGTAATAAGCCTACTTCATGGTTAATTGTAGCCTACTGATGGCATGTATAGGCTAATTGGACATCTGCCAGTGTCTTCTGTTCGAAAGAATATCGAACAAACAGTTTCTAAGGAATATTGATAATCGAATAGGTTTAAACACCTAGTCTTCAGTCATTTTACTATCGCGTATATAGGCTAGTAGACGTTGTTACTCCAAATAGGATTCTTTGGTGATATCATTTATTCCCTGTAATGTGTTTATTTTGTCCTATTTATTAGTAGGCCTAAATAAACAAGAGCACAATATCGTAGCCCATTAAGCCTAATAAGCATGGCTAAAAGTGGTGCAGGCCTACAAATGCGAGAAAAAACAATGAAAAAGAAACACAAAATACCTTGGTCTATGCCACTTATCAAGATTGGATTCTATGCTACCTCATTCGGAAATCGGAATAAATGGGAGCAATCCAAACTAAAAATTTTACATTCATGCCAAGGAGAACATGGACTGTTGGATTTGAACAGTGAAGGCATGCAGCAATTAATTGCAGTCGTTGTTTATAGCGCAAGACTATAGGCCTATGCGGACGGATCTGTAATCAAATACAAATAATTAGGCCTACATTTATTTAGCCTCGTTAAATTACTTTTTGGTGAAAACGTCGTTGTTCGGCTTTGCCATGCATTTTTGGTGCAATTTTAGGCTATACCGTGGTAAACCGCATACCTGTCAGTGTTAAAACAAACGACATGGATAACCATGCCTTCTTGCACTAGGACCTATATATTTTGTTACTGTTACTTTGTTGTTCTATTCTGCATGTTCAGTATGACACACTGCATGGCATAACCACGCTGCATCCAGCTCTGTAGGCCTTTGGCCTGTGAGGCTAAACGCATTCCCAATCCCACTGCAGCTAACTTTGTGCTTCTATCCAGTTGTTGTTAAAGACATGGCAGAAAGTGTGACGTTCGGTCCTGTACTCCCTTTAAACTCGGCCAACAGCTATGCATGAACCAAAGCGCGGGTCTGTTAGAGGGCTTCCAGAGAGATTAGGCCAGAGCTCGAGGGCAGAGGGAGTCCCTCCAGGATAGGAGAGGACTGGAGCAGCACAGCCATTTCCCATGGTTCCTCTGGAGAGATTACTACTACTACTACTACTACTACTACTACTACTACTACTACTACTACTACTACTACTACTACTACTACTGCTACTATACTACTGCTACTACTACTACTACTACTACTACTACTACTACTACTACTACTACTACTACTACTACTACTACTACTACTACTACTACTACTGCTACTACTACTACTACTACTACTACTACTACTGACTACTACTACTACTACTACTACTACTACTACTACTACTACTACTACTGCTACTACTACTACTACTACTACTACTACTGCTGCTACTACTACTACTACTACTACTACTGCTACTTCTACTACTACTACTACTACTACTACTACTACTTCTACTACTGCTACTGCTACTGCTACTGCTACTGCTACTACTACTACTACTACTACTGCTACTGCTACTACTGCTACTGCTACTGCTACTGCTACTGCTACTGCTACTACTACTACTGCTACTATACTACTACTACTACGACTACGACTACTACTACTACTACTGCTACTACTACTACTAATACAAAAAGAGTAATAACAATAATAATAATAATAATAATTATAAGCCTATTATTATATTTTCCTAGCACCTGACAATTGTAAAATGAACCTAGAATACTTTGTGATATACTGTCCCTGTAGAAACGTGAACTAATAACCATGACCCATGACCCATACAGTATGCGACCCTGTGCAGTTTGCATGCAACTGACGTCTGCCAGCCAATGGTGTGAGTATAATTGCTACCTGTCAGACATGCAAAATGATGAGTCCTGCGACACATAGCTATAATTAGACACTAAATGCTGTAATTACGCAGCGACTGGGAGGTAAGTGCTACTCTGGAGGTGAGTAACAGTCTACATCCCAAATGGCACCCTATTCCCTATATAGTGCACTTCTTTTGACCAGAGCCATATGGGGGTCCCCCTTGGGACAGAGCTAGTGTCTTCGTTTCTTCTCCTGTGTAAATAGATGGAGGATTTAGCCCATTGGGTGGCTGGAAGCAGCCCTGCTGTTGCCTGCCTTCAGGTGGTGGTGTTGATGGTGGTGACCCCGTGGTGACCCCGGTGGAGTAAAATGACAGAGTTAGTCATACACACTCCAGAAGTAGGCTAGATAAGAGATGTGTGTGTGTGTGTGTGTCTGTAGGGTCAAATAATCACAACATGGAAGACAAACATAATAAAAATAATTAGTTCTACAGAGGACGCACACGGTCCAGATTCTGTAAAATCAATCGTGTCCGTGCGCTTGACCACTGGGAAGCTGCGCTGGAAAGCTCACTACTGTGACATCACTGGCGTTAGCTGGCCTCAAGCTAACTCAGAACAAACTAGAGTCATTCAAAGGGAGACAGACAATAATATTTACTTCATAGGGTTCCTTTATGGATATCCACTTCAAAATGATGCTAGCGCAGAATGATGTCATTCACCAGTAATCTATGGCTGCCTCTCCGTTACTAGTCCCCTGGAGAACCTTGAAGTGTGTTGAAAAAGGGCCATGTCACAATTCCCAATCGGCTCTGAAATTAGTGTTGTTTTGATTACGCAGGGCTTGGAGATCAGCAACGTAAACGGGTCCTGGTACTTAAGATCATCTCAAGAAAAGACAAGCGTCCCTTTTCACTTTTTACAAACTTCCTTGGCCTCCCTTGCTTAACTACCATCCAAATCGGACTTGCAGTGTTTTTATCATGACATAAACCCCCCCATGCAACGAGAGGCAAACTAGCAGAAATACAGACGGTAACTCCATCATCTCTGTGAAGTTGCCACCCCATGTTCCATACGTCCCCCCCCAGCTCTGTGCATCCGCAGCTCTACAATCCAGCTGCCACTTACGGGGATATAAAGTGAATGGGAGACATAGGTCTGTTTTGTAGGCCTCTTCAGGCACACGTAGAGCAACACTACAGTGTACTGTAATATGGGCGGTCTTCCACAGAAGATTTAAAAAAAACAATGATTTCACCAACAGAGTGGCATGATGTGTGTTTGGTATACGGGGAGGGGGATACAGAACTGGGACATCTCATCCATAGTCATCCACGTTTGTGCTGATAGCGGTTGTTGGCTACAGGACGTTTGTGCTGATATCGGTTGTTGGCTACAGGACGTTTGTGGTGATATCGGTTGTTGGCTACAGGAAGTTTGTGCTGATATCGGTTGTTGGCTACAGGACGTTTGTGGTGATATCGGTTGTTGGCTACAGGACGTTTGTGGTGATATCGGTTGTTGGCTACAGGAAGTTTGTGCTGATATCGGTTGTTGGCTACAGGAAGTTTGTGCTGATATCGGTTGTTGGCTACAGGACGTTTGTGCTGATATCGGTTGTTGGCTACAGGACGTTTGTGGTGATATCGGTTGTTGGCTACAGGACGTTTGTGGTGATATCGGTTGTTGGCTACAGGACGTTTGTGGTGATATCGGTTGTTGGCTACAGGAAGTTTGTGCTGATATCGGTTGTTGGCTACAGGACGTTT